TCCACCTTCTTGTTCCGCTCCGCTGCGCAACCCGGCCGCCCGCTCAACAGACCGTGGTCCGGCGTGGCATTATCGGTAGCGGAGAGAAGAAGGTGAACAGAAACAACGAGATGTACTACGGAGCGCAGGGTGCCGGGGCTCACCGGTGGTGGCGTTTGATTTGAAAATCAAAACCACGAAGTCGAGCCCACGTCACGCTTCCTGTCGACCGTTGGGCGCACGCGAGCTTGTTGCGTCGGGCGGGGCCAAGGCGGTAACCGCAATTTGGTGGCTTGTCACTCGCCGTCAGGGACCCCAGCGAATGGCGGGTTGGGTCTCCCGAAGCTGCTCCAAGCCCTTTCGTGCCTGGCTCCTCTTCTTCTTCTTCACTCCTCACTCCCACCTCCCGTCCAGCCCAGCAGTCCTCCGCTAGCAGTAGTAGTCACACAACAACATGGCGGAACAGAATAAGACCTGGGTTGATGTCCAGAAGAAGGTGCGCACCACTGACCACCGCGTTCATTCTTTTGATTCGATTTTTTTCCCCCGATTTTTGTAGAATGCACTGCCGCCGTCACTACCCAGGTCATTCCATTAATTAACACGAGTTCATTGATGATGTGCGTCATGACAGGCCTTCACCCGCTGGGCCAACCAGTTCCTCTCGGAGAGGCGCCTGAAGATCGAGAACATCGAGACCGATCTGGCCACTGGTATCAACCTGTGCAACCTGCTCGAGATCATCTCGTCCAAGTCGCTCGGCAAGTACAACCACAAGCCCACCATGCGTTACCACTACCTCGAGAACAACGGCCGCGCCGTCAAGTTCATCAAGGACGAGGGCCTCCAGCTCGTCGGTATCGGTCCTGAGGGTACGTTCACACTACCACTACTACCGACTCTACACGCTCTTCTTGCAATTTACGATTCATGTCTGATTTATATTATTTTTGGCTCCACTACTCGAATGAACAAACAGATATCGTGGACGGCAAGCTCAAGCTTATCCTGGGTCTCATCTGGACGCTCATTCTGCGTTACCAGATCAACATGATCGGCGAGGGTTCGCCCAAGTGGGAGCTCCTCCAGTGGGTGAACAAGCAGATCGCCCCCTACAACGTCGACAAGCCCGTCGTCAACTTCACCACCAAGTACGTTGCACCTTCTTCTTCCTTCCTTCCGTGTTGCTCTACGTGATTTATTAATATCTCTTAATTAACGGAGTATTTATTTTATAATTAACAAAATATGCAAAACATTTAATTAATATTTAACGCTCACTTTACCCAACCAACCCAACCAACCAACAGCTGGTCCGACGGTAAGGTGCTCAGCGCTCTGGCTGACTCGCTCCAGCCGGGCGTGCTCACCCCGACCGACATGTCGGCCCTGTCCGGCGACGCCCTGCAGGATCTCGAGAAGGCCATGCAGACCGCGCTCGACAACTACAACATCGCCAGGCTCATCGACCCCGAGGACATGGTCAACTGCCCCGACGAGCTGTCGATGATGACCTACGTCTCGGCCTTCCGCAACTACCTCAGCGAGGAGGAGCAGAGGCGCCGCGAGGAGCTGGCCCGCAAGAAGAGGACCGCCGACCCCTCGAACTGCTACGCGTACGGCCCCGGCCTCGAGGGTGCCGACACCTACCAGCCGGCCCACTTCACCATCGTGGCCAAGAACTACTTCGACGAGGAGCTGCCCACCGGCGGCGACCAGTTCGAGGTGACCATCGCCGGCCCCGACAGCAACGTGCAGCCCACCGTCACCGACAACGGCGACGGCAAGTACCCGGCCCAGTACACCGTGGCCAAGCCCGGCGACTACACCATCACCATCAAGCTGCGCGATGAGCCCATCAAGGGTTCGCCCTACCACGTGCACGTCGACGGTCCCAACGCCGGCCACTCGGTCGCCTCCGGCCCCGGTGTCGAGGGCGCCCAGACCAAGAAGCCCGCCAACTTCCGCATCACCTCGTTCAACGACAAGGGCCAGCAGGTCCAGTCCGGCGGCGACAAGTACCAGGTCCAGGTCCAGGGTCCCGAGGACGTGGCCGACCCCAGCCTCACCGACAACAACGACGGTACCTTCGACGGTGCCTACCAGGTGTCCACCCCCGGCCACTACTTCGTCAACATCACGCTCGACGACGAGCCCATCAAGGGCAGCCCCTACAAGGTGCTCATCGAGGGCGCCCGCGCCGGCAACTCGTACGCCGAGGGTCCCGGCCTCGAGGGTGGCCAGGCCACCAAGCCCAGCGTGTTCACCATCCACGCCTACGATCCCGAGGGCCAGAAGTGCACCGACGGTGGCGACCCCTTCAAGGTCGACATCCAGGGTCCCGCCGACGTGCAGCCCACCGTGACCGACAACGGCGACGGCACCTACACCGTTGAGTACACCCCGACCGAGGCCGGCGACTACACCGTCAACGTGACCCTCCACGACGAGCCCATCAAGGATGTGCCCCGTCAGGTCCACGTCAAGGCCACCCCCGACGCCTCCAAGACCTGGGCTGAGGGTCCCGCCCTCGAGGGCCTCGTTGATAACGAGCCCGGCCTCTTCACCATCCACGCCGTGGACAAGGACGGCAACCCGCGCGTTGACGGCGGCGACAAGTTCGACGTCGACATCAAGGGCCCCAACGGCAACGTCCCCGCCGACGTCACCGACAACGGCGACGGCACCTATGGTGTCAAGTTCGACCCCGAGAACCCCGGTGACTATGACATCAACGTCACCTTCGAGGGTGCCCCCATCAAGGATGCCCCCTTCCACGTCCACTGCAAGGAGGGTACCGACGCCGACGAGTCGGGCTTCGGCATCTTCTCCTTCACCATCCAGTCCCGCGACAAGCGTGGCGAGAACAAGACCTTCGGCGGCGACGCCTTCGACGTTGCCATCAAGGGTCCCGACGATTCGGACGTCGAGGTCCAGACCACCGACAACAGCGACGGTACCTACACCGCCGTCTACGCTCTTACCGGCGACAAGGGCGCCGTCTTCACCATCACCGCCAAGCTCAACAACCGGAAGGTCGGTACCTACAAGCAGAACCTCGACTAAGTCTTGCAAGAAGACAAGAAGAAGAAAGACTTCTGTTGGTTGTAGAAAACTACAAGGATGTAAGAAAGGTTGGAGATCCGGTCACCATTATTAAAACCCAATTATCACAATCTCTGGCCAGGCGAAGAGGAACATCAAGTGGTGTTGCACATCCAGCCCTTCTCCAACAAGATTTCTGTCGCACCACAAACTTGTAGACAGTTTCGAGGGTTAGGGTGGCAGGTGCTGTAATGCTGGGGGCGAGTGTGGGGGAGTCGGCGTCCAAAATATCTGCGACCAATTTTCCTCTGTTTTTGGACGAACAACGATCCAGAAATCTGTTGTCCTGGAAGGATGGGGCTGAGATCCTGGGATCCAGTACCCTCAATTGACCACGTTCTACACGCCTCGCTGTTGTTCTCTTTCTTCTACTAGCTGTCTCGATCTCTGATTTCCTCTTCTTTCATTATTTCCCGCTTAAGATAAGAATGAAGGCCCGCCCTTCTTCTTTCGCCATTAGACTCTTGCCTCTGGCGATTCTTATCATCACCCAATGCCTTCTAACAGCCGCGCTTCAAATTGGTATGTTCTTCTTGACTCTTTCGAGATTTTACAAAATCCTCATTTTGTCTTGTGCACGTCAAGTGTACGTCGATGAGCGGGCTTCCTACCTGCCCGGGCGTCCGTGCGGCGGGAGTGCGGACGAGCCGTGCCCCACCTTGGCCGATGCCTTTGGCGGCTCCCACCTCCTCAAGTCCACCGACTACGAGGTACCACCACCTCTTCTCGCCCCGCGCCCAGTCTCGTGCGCGCCACACCGTGCCACCGTTCAGGGCTCTTTCTCAATGCTGACTGACTGCCTGACGTGCGCAGGTGCGGATCCGACCTGGTGTGTACCGGGCGTCAGAGAATGTGGGCTTCGTGTTCACCGACAGCTCCATCAGGTACTGCTCGCGCCTCAACTCCTTCTTCTACTCTGTGTGGTGCTGGCTAAACCACTTGTTGCTGCTTCTCCTTCAGCCTGAAGCGGTGGCCGGAGGAGTCCGAGCAGCGCGTCGTTTTCGATTGCGAGCACGGCCCGGCGTCGTTCGCCTTCAAGGACTGCTCGGCGTCGTCTCTCACAGGGATTGAACTGAGGCATTGCCCGACGGTGCTTGTCGCCGGCAGCACCGGCTTCACTGTAACCGACGCCCACTTCCTCGACGGCAAGCCCCTCGCTCCCACCGACTCCCGCCTTGCGCGGAGGAATGTCGCCCAGTCGGCGGCGATGACCGGCGGAAGCGCGCTCATGGTCACCCACAGTACGTGCCCCTCCTGTGCGCGTCGCAGGCCTGCGACTCACCGGCGGCGCTTCACCGCGTGCGGCGCACACAGCTACCGGATTGGTGGTGCAGGACAGCGTGTTCGTAAACCACACCGCCCGACCAGGTGGGGCGCTCTTCGTGGACGCCAGCGAGGGCGTGCAGCTGCGGCGACTCCAGATCCGCTCGGGCGGCGGCATATTCATCGCCGCGTGCAAGGACAAGACCACTCTGAGCGACGCGACGCTCATCGCCTGTTCGTCGGGAGGAAAGGGCAGCGCGATACACGTCGTCGGTTCGGAACTGGTGGTGCAGCGCGTGGCTATTACGCCCAACAAGGTGAGCACGGCTTCCTCTGATTCTTCACGCAGGACACGCACGACACGCACGACACACACGCACACACGCACACACACACACAACACACACGCACAACACAACACACACGAGGCACCAGCTCATTCTGAATATTAATCGCTTGTGCGCAATCCAGCGTACCAGTGTGCGATGCGAGGGACAGGCCAGCGTGATCGACGTCGACGGAACGCTCCTGCTTTCGAAGGCGTGCACCAACTCTGACACCAACCGACCACATTCGGAACGGGTGCGTCGCTCTTTCTCCACCACGTGCACACTCATCCGCGCTCCGTGATGCAGCTCGTCAGGCCTGACATTGCCCCTGTCCGCCCTTCATTCAGGACACACGCTTGAGTTCGGCGCCACAGAACGTGGCCCATGCGGCCGTGGTGCTTGTGATGTTCATCCTCGGCCTCAACTGGGTGCTGGAGGGTCTTGAGGCCCGGTGGTGATACCACCGCACACGACCTATTTATTTATTTATTTATTCTTGTACAGACCCGGGCGACGCCCGAGACGTGGTCGGTTACAAAACAAGAGTTCTTGCCGACCTTGTCAACGACCAACATTGTTTGTTTCTTCCGTGGCTCTGGTTCAGAGAGGAGGTCAGAGGAGCGAGGTGGTGAACGATGGATTCGGCCATTCTGTGTAGAAGCAGCTGGGTCAGCCCATGCCGCAGCTGTAGGTGGCGTAGGGTCCACCACAGAAGTTGCTGTAGTACTCCCACTGCACCACGGTCGCCTGACCGCCGCCCACCACCAGGAACCGGTGGCCACCGAGGCCGCTCCCCTGGTGATGTGCGTGGTTGGTGCGCACTTGTTGAGTGAAAGAACAAATGGAAAAGAAGAAGAATAAGAATAAGAATAAGAAGAAGAAGACGAAGGCTACGACGAAGGTGGTGCGTGCCTTGAACTGGGTGTCCTTCCACATGAGCAGCTCGTGGCTGCCTGCCAATCGAGCCACGGCCTTGAGCGCGTCGCCGGCACTGGGCAGGTTCAGCGCTACCAACTCGGTCGAGCGCCACCTGACCTCTCGCAAGCCTGCCCCAAGGAAACAAACAAACAATCAGCCTGATCTCGACAATCATCATCATCGTCGTCGTCATCAATGCGGTGGTACTCTGAAACATTTCGTCGAACTGCTCGATCGAGGAGATGGGCACGAGCTCGGGACCGAATCGGAGTGGACGGTGGGTCCACGCATCGCTGTTGAGGCACACGTTGCGGTTGCTCGCCAGCTGCACCTCGACATTCGCCAGTCCTTCCGCGATCGCTGCCCCCACGCCGCCTCCTGCACCCTTTGGTGAGCGCACACGACACAAACGACATACACCACTACGGCACACGGCGCACGGCGCACGGCACGCGGCACGCGGCACACGCTCGACGTACGACACGACACGCACACAAGAAAGAAAGAAGCGTACGGAAGGCGTAGAGGGCTGTGGGGATGCGGAAGGTGCGCACGGAGGCGAAGGCCTTCATGTTTTGGCTCACGCGTGGCTCGAACACGTCCTCGAACATCTCCGCGTCGCGCGGGGTGAGCCAAGCGCCCTTGTCCCGCAGCGCGGGCACCACCAACAGACGCGCTGCAATCGCCGCTCGCGATGGCGTCTCGGCCGCCTGCGGCTCGCCGCCCTTGGCCGCCGCCGCGTCGCCGCCGTCTTCGTCGTCGCTACCGGAGCTGACGTCGGAGACCGATGCGCTGAGGCTGCTGGCGCTGCTGGCGCTGCTGTAAGCGATCCGGCGGGCGGCGGTGGGCGGGGCCTCTAGCGGTAGCGGCCCGAGGAGGTGGGCCAGGCCCGGGCCGCGGGCGGCGTGTACGTGGTCCACCAGCTTGGCCGACACAAGGGCACCGCTCGAGTGGTGCACCGCGCCGTAGCTCCACACGCTCGTCTGCCCAAACGCCAGCAGCGACTCTGTGCGCGAGCCCAATTAGCCATTACTCGTGTGTGCGGCGTGTGCGGTCGTGTGTGCGGTGATGCTTACCGTAGTCCAGGAAGGAGAGGACCTCGCAGACGAGCTCGGGCGGCATGCGTGCGAAGTGGGAGCTCTCTTGTTGGGCGGCGGAGGGAACTTTGTCCTCCAGCTTTCGGGCCACGTCAGCCCACGTCCCAATGTAGCGCGACAGCGTGGCCAGGCGCTGCTGCTGGCCGCTCGCGGGCAGCGAAGGGTTCTTCTTCTTTTTACTTTTCTTGTTGGTGCTCGGGTCGGCCTGCACCTCCTCTGCTGCCGCCTGCAGCTGGGCGAGCTCCTGTTTGAGGAGGGCGAGCGCGGACAGCTGGCTCACCACCTCCACCTCCGCCCCGGGGTCCAATTCGGTCAGCAACCGAGGCCCGCGTGAGCCAGACCCAGCTTCGTCCTTGCCCTTGCTTCCCTTGCCTCCCATCTTCCGCTGTGAAGTGCAAATTACATCATTTCCCTTCTCTTTCTCATGAGAAAAAGCGGTGGTAGACCTCCACTCGTAGCTCGCAATCAGCCAATCACAAAAGCCTGAGTTTTTATAACTAAAATGCCCGGCCACGAGTGGAGGTCTACGACCCGAACTACGACTCGCCTAAGTACGCGATCATCAAGTCGATCCAGGACGACATTATGGCCAAGCTGTGCCACGGCGGTCTGCTCGGGGAAGATCGACGTCAGCATTGGCGCCGTGTGTGCCTCGGCCTCGCCCACCCCCTCCCTCTCCCTGAGTCCGGCGCCTTCGCTTTCGCTGGTGCCGCCGCATTCGCGTTCGCCGTCGCCTTCTCTTTCGCTCTCGCCTTCGCCGTCGAGCCCGTCGGCCTCGGCGGTTCCTTCGAGCTCAGCCTCGGGCAGCCCTCGCCGGCTGCGAGCGCCTCGACCTCGTCCGCCTTCAGCTTCGCCAGTAGCTACGCATTCGCCGTCGGCTTCGCTCGTTCCATCTTCTCCGGCCTCGCCCTCCTCTTCCCCCACCGCCTCAGCCATCCCCTCTTCGTCGCCTTCGCCCAGCCCGTCTGCTTCTTCCTCGGCCTCGGCTTCGCTCGCTCCTTCGTCCTTGCCTTCGCCGGCGGCCAGCACTGCTTCGCCGTCTCCAGTGGCTTCGTCGGCCTCGTCTCCGCCCTCCACTTCCGCCTATCCGTCCTCCCCCTCGGCGTCGCCCACGCCCAGCACCGCTGCGCCTTCGCTGTCCGCATTGGTCACGCCGGCGGTGGCCGCGTCGGAGGGCCTGACGGAACAGCACAAGATGGCGGTGGGCCTGGGCGTGGCAGGAGGCGTGGCTGCGGCAGCGGCCGGCCTGGCGGGCCTAGCGGCTGCGGGCGTCGTGTTGGCCCGGAAGCGACGACAGTCAGCGCCGCAGGAGCCGGCCGACCCCTACTTCGTCGAGGAGGACGACCAGCGAGGGGTGGCCCACCAGAACGACATGTACCAGGACCCCAGCAACCACAACCACCTCCACACCGACCACGTGTGAGGCCTCCTGATGCACCGAAAATAAAATAAAATGTAGAACACAATGTTGTATTGAACAGGCAACATTCACGAGAAGAGAAAAAAAGATGTAACAGGGTTTGTACAAAAGGTAGTTGTTGTGTGGCGGGTAGCCGTGCTTTAGCCATAGTCGGCGAGGATCTCGGGCGACACGCTGGAGGCCAGCAGGCGCAGGGTGTCCGAGGTGGTCGGGGTGGAGCTCCAGAGCGTCTGTTTCCGCACCCTGTGAGTCGACCCGGACCCGGCCTCGTCGTTCTCGGAGCCCTCCTCGTCCGTCTCCCAGTACTCATCGTCCTTGCCCTGCAATAACAAACACAAAAAGGAAAACGTCAACACAAAGAACGAAAAGCGACAGCTGAAAGAACGAAGGGGCACGCACCCCGTTGTCGGTATCGGAGCTGCTGGAGCTGCTCTCATGCGAGGCCTTCCCGTTGAAGAGCTGGCTACCCTTCTTGGCCTTGCCCTTGTCCTGGCCGTCGGCCTTCTCCTTCCGCTGCTGCTTCTTCTGCTTGGCGGCCGCTGCGGCCTGCTGGCGCATGGACTCCTTGAAGCTCTTCTGCTCGGCATCCTCCAGGTCCTGGAGGATGATCTCCTTCTCGCGCTCCCACAGCCGACCGCCCTCCTCGACCTCGACCTCGCTCTGTTCGCTCTCGAGCGCGACTTCTAGCTCGGCCTCGGCCTCGCTGTCGCTATCGCCACTGTCGCTTTCACTTTCGCTGTCGCTTTCGCTCTTGCTCTCGCTGCCCGAGACCTTGACGTCGTCGCTTTCGTTCTTCTCCTCTTCCTTCTCTTTCTCCTCCTCCAGATCATCGTCCTCCTCTCCGATCTCGCTGTCACCGTCGTCGCCGTGGGCGTCCTTGCCCTTATCCGACGTCTCCTTCTCCCACTCCTCCTCCTGCTCATCTTCGCCCTCGCCGAATCCGTCGTCGCTGTCCTCCGACGCGTCGCTGATGGGCTCCACCTTCTTGAGCGTGGGCGTGCGTCCCTTGGACACCAGCTGGCCGTTCGATCGTATCGTCTTCCGCGTGTTCCACGGGTTCTTCCTGACAACTTCTCTCTCCTCCTCCTCGCCATCATCCGCTTGAAGTGGCAGAGCGGCGACGCCGATGAGCCCCGCGGCATTTCGATGCACCGGCACGGCCGCGCCGTCGTCCCTCACGGCGACCTCGTCTTCGGCATCGACGTCGTCGTCTTCGTCGGTATCCTCCTCACTGGCGTCGGACTCACTCGAGAGGCTTTCCTCGTCCTCCTCCTCTTCCACGTCCGTCGGCGGTTGGGCGAAGCCATTGCTGCGAGTCTTCACCGGAGAGCCGACGACCTTGGAGAAGGTCGACGAGAGGCCGCCGCCGAACCATGGCGGGGTCACCTGCTGGCCGAAGCCGTCGCCCTGCGGCGGTTCGGCGTAGCCGCCGTTACTGACCATGGGCGCCATGTGGGGCAGGTAGCCCGCCGGCACGAATTGCATCTGCGGGTCGGGCACGCCGCCCATGGGGTACATGGGCTGCACGCCGGGCGGCGGCGCGAGCATGCCGCCCGGGTTCATCATGAGCGGCGGCGGGCCGCCGACCCCGTTGAAGCCGTGGATGCCGGAGCCGCTCGGGCCGGTTGCCTGGAAGGGATTGGGCAGACCGTCCAGGAGTTCGATCTGCCGTACCACTGAGCACACCCTCTTCAGGTACTGCTTGGGCTTGGCGGTCTTGCTCTTGTCCTTGGTCGATTTCCTGTAGCAGGGCACCGCATACGGTCATGACACGAGCGAGGCCTGGTGGGGTAAGAGCTGGTGCGCGCGTACCTGATGAAGAGCGCCTTGAGAGCGGGCATGCGGGAGAAGACGGCCAGGAGCTTGGCGCCCTTGTCCTCGATGTCGTTGTGCTGCAGATCGAGGTAGGTGAGGCACGGAAGGTTGAAGAACACCTCCTCTTCGAGGCTCTTGAGGTGGTTGTGGCTGGCGATGAGGAACGCGAGCTTGGAGAAGGGCTGCAGCCGACGCAGGGAGGAGAGGTTGAAGTAGTTGAGATCGAGCTCCTGGACCCGGAGCACCTGGTCCCGCTCCTGCTCGTCGACCCCCATCTTCTCGAACAGGAGGTCCATGCGGAAGTTCTCGATGTTGATGTAGGGGTCCCTCTCCACAGCAGTGCACTATTGGGTGGCAATAGTGTGTGTGTGTGTGTGTGTGTCAGACTAGGTGCAACTCTAGAGTTTTGGGGGGTGGTGAATGAACCCGCTCGTCGATAGAGATCTCGTGCCCGTTGAGGAGCTTGAGGGGCGCGCCCAACGCCTTCATGCTGGGCAGCTTGAAGATGAGGTTGACTCGCAGCAGCGGCTCGTTGTTGGGAAAGCACGGGTTGCCGCTGCAGGAGAAGTACTCAAGCGCGGGCAGGGACGACGCGATGGTGATCAACGCGCCAAAGTCGCAGATGTTGTTGTCGCTCACATCGAGCGCCGTCAGGTGCTCCAGATCGGTCACGTGCGAGTCTGAGAGTGAGAAGCACGTCAGACATTAACACCCACCGCAGGTACTGTTGGTGGAGGAGGTCAATGGTACGTACCGAGGAGATTGGCCGCGTCCAGCGAGTTGCCCCGGAGGCTGAGCTTCTCGAGGCCCGAGAACTTGGAGAGGTCGACGTTGGTGAGCCCGCAGAGGGAGAGGTCGAGCTCCTTGACCTCATAGAACGGCACGTCGTCGGGGGTCTTGCGGAGGATGAGCACGTGGAAGAACTTCTCGCGTGCGGTCATGCCCTTGGGTGCCTTCCAGACGCTGCAGATCTCGTCGATGGTGATCGGCATGTTGTCGACCATGGCGAGGCGGAATCGCGACTCGTGCAGCTGCGGCAGCTGGGCGATGAACTTGGTGCGATAGTCCTTGGCCACAGTGCACTTGTTGCCGCGCAGGCCGATGGCCACGAGGGAGGCGATGCTGTTCACGATGCTCACGAAGTCCTCGAGCTTCTCGAAGCAGTTGTCCCTCAGGTCGAGCACGCGCAGGTGGCTGAGCTCCATGAGTCCCGCGATGTCGCTCGGCGTGCGCACGTCGTTCTTTCGCATCAGCAGCATCTCGAGGTTGGTGAACTTGGTCACGTCGAATGAGGCCAACGCGCACTCATGCAGGTCCAGTGTCTTGAGCTGGCTCGCGGGCACGTTGGTGGGAATGCGCTGGAAGATGATGGCCTCCATCCGGAAGCGCGACAGCTGCTCGGGAGCGGGCGCGGTCGACTTGCGGAGGGTGAAGCCCTTCTTGGGCGCGGTGCACTTCTTCCAGGCCTCGATCCTTTCGGAGATGGAGATCTGGATGTCGATCACCTGCAGCCGACAGCTGACCTCCTTCATGTTGCCCATCAGCGAGATGAGCCGCTTGCGGTCCTCGGGGAAGTTCTTTACGATCGGGTTGCCACGGATCGACAGACACTCCAGCGTCTTGAGCGTATCCAGGAACGCTGCCAACTGATGGGGGGGGGCAAAAGTGCGAGCGAGGGTCAGTATTAGGTGGGGAGCTTCACCCAAGGGAACCGCAGAGGGAACGGCGTACGCTCTTCAGAGAGCCCGAGAGCTGGTTGAACGATACGTCCAGCACCTTGAGCTTCTTGAGACTCTGAAGTCCGATCGTGGTGAGATCGGTGAGCTTGTTGCGCGCCAGGTTGATCTCCTCCAGGTTCTCGAACGGGCTTCACGCATGAGTTCGGTCAGTGGACGCCGACTGCTGGCGATGGTTCATAAGGGGCGTACCTGAAGTTCGCCATTTGAATGCCCATGTTGTGCAGGCGGAGCAGACTGGTCACCTTGGCGGGGTCGTACTGCTTGCCCACGGCAACGGCCTCCGGGTGGTACTTCCTGTTGGTCGGCTGGGTGGAGTTGATGTTGACGGCCAGGAGGAAGCGATAGTGCTCGGCCTTCTCGGACTTGACGCCCTTCATCGATCGAAAGGTCTCCACTCGCTCGGCCGGTGTGATGGGCACCTCGTCGACCGCAAACAGGTCCGGATTGTTGAGGAGGAGCTCCTTGAGTACGTACGCGCGGTACTTTTTGTTGTCGGCCTGTCGCGGGTGGCCCTCCATGGTGACGCACAGGTTGGCCTTCTCCAGGGTGGTGACATTCCTCAGCTTCGACAGAACGGCCTTCCACTTGAGCTTGGGATTGTCCGACAGGTTGAGGAATCGGAGCCTGCGCGCAAGGGAAAGGAAAGGTATGATAAGAATGAGACTGCGTCACTGTTGAGCTGGGGCGAAGGCTCGCCGTACTTGTGCAAACACTCCAGCCCAGTGACGTCCTTGAGACTGTTCTTGCTGAGGTCCAACAACTCGACGGACGTAAAGCCGGAGAGCTGTCGAGAGAGCGCAACGCTTGTGAGTGACAGGTCTTCGCTTTGGGGTGCGGTCAGCTTTAAAGCGAGGACTGAGTTGAACGAACCTCGACTACAGTCAGCCGGCTCCTCGGATAGGAGAGCGACTTGATCTTCGACACGACGTCGGGTGTCTTGATCTGCATGTGGCCAAAGGTTTGCATGATCATGTACTTCCACCTGCCATCGCCATAGAGTTTGTGAGGATTGGCGGTTTCGTGAAATGGTTGAGAGAAACGTGGTATGGGGGGGGGGCGTACCGCCACATAGGGATGTCGATACTCGTCTTGTTGGCCTCGAGCGCCGCTATCCTCTCGTCGATGGTGATTGGAACTTCATCTAGTTCGACCAGACCCGTCGTCCTGTTGGAGCCCCGCAGATACCGCGTCTCGAACGTGACTGTAATCACGCATGCCACGCTGATTGTGTTAGATCCGAGCCCCAGTACGATGAGTAATGGATGTACCGGTCAGTCGGTAGTCGGGTGCCTTGGTCACCGGGTTGCCCTTGAGCATGAGGTACTGCAGGCAGGGCAGGAAGCCCAACACCTTGAGGTTTTCGCGCTTCGCGATCAGATTCTGCTTGAGGTTGAGGTGCTGCAAAGCGTGGCACTTCTCGAGGCCCATGCCCCGGATTTCCCTGATCGCGTTCCTCGACAGGTCCAAGTACTCGAGGTTCACCAGCCCGCCCACGTTGAAGTAGGTCAGGTTCTGCCTGGGCAACGTGAGCATGACCAGCTGCGAGGGCTGCCACGTCTTCATCGCTGCATGGTCACAGTGACATAAAGAGGTAAGCGCGTTTAGCCGGAAGGAAGGCTTCATGTGCAAGAAGGAGGGTGCGAAACCGTTGACTTCGGGCGTGGCGACAAAGCTGAGGTCCCACTGGACGGGGCCTGTGGTGTTCTTGACCTGTTTGGGGCCGTAGGTGATCATGGCCTGGATCCTCTCTTGGATCTCCACGCGCTGGCCATCCAGCGCCTTCAAGAACAGAGTGCAGTTGCCGATCACCTGAATGAAACCAAAGACAAAGTACTGTGATCAGAGCGATCGATCGCCAAGAGAGGGGACTCACCAAAAGGAGGCCAGTACCTTCGATCTATAGCTTGGCTTGCTCGTGACGGGGTTGTCCTGCAATTTGATCATCTCGAGATAGGGGGAATGCTTGAACATGGCCAAGCAGGCCTTGACCGTCTTGAGAAGGTTCTGGGAGAGATCGACGTATTGGAGCTTGGGCAATACAAAGTCGTCCAGCTTCTGCAGCTTGAGCGAGCGCAGAATTAACACGCTCAAGCCACCGTATTGCGATATCTAGACATCGACACAAGCCCAAGAGTTAGCTCTCTGAAACATAACGGGCCAGTGGCTGCCGAGCAACGTACAGACTTGCCGAGGGACTTGAGCACTTTCGAACCCAGCTGAACGTCGGTTATCTTGATGAAGGTGACCCGGCCGTCGGCGGCCTTCTTCTTCCTCGTTACTTCGTTGACGTCCTCGCACTTCTCGGCCTCTTCGAACTGGAGGACCAATCAATGCACGAGAAAATGTCAATAAAGAATTAATTACGGTCATGTTCAGTCTGCAGAAACCGTACCTGGTCGGGCGGACGAAGGGGCGCGACAGGAGACATGAACACATACGGGACGTAGCTGAAGCAGCTGATGTTGCCCGCGACCTTCTCGAATTTCTGCGTTTGTGGGTTCAAAAGAGGAGGACGGTGAGCATCAATTGCCATCGGGGCCAGGCCACGGGTGAGGGAACAATACCTCACGGTCGAACTCCTCGGGAAAGATGCCCGTGTCTGGCTCGGGTATGCTGCTCAGAAAGTCATCGGGCTCCACGTGCATGCGGAAGTTGGTCACTGCGTTACATTCACATGGCCGGCGAGATGAGCATGACAAGACCACTGTAAAGGGCGAGAATATCAGGCGAGAGTAGCACGCGTACGCTCTTCATCGCTGGGAGTGTCGAAGGCAAAGGGCTTGTCGACAGCGATCGAGTAGTCATACTTGCCGTTGAAGCTGTCGGCATTGCCTTTGGGCAACTCGAGCATGGGGAGGGTGGGCACCGAGCTGAAAGTGAGCTCCACCTTGCCCGCGGCTGAGTCGGGCGAGTTGTTGGACGAGCGGCGCGGGCTGGTGGACACGTGCGAGCGTGGCGACGATAGATTTGTGTCCAGTTCGTGCGCAGAAGTGGGAAGCCCTTCCCTGCCTGCGAGCAAGGAGGGGTCAGCCCCACGCAAGAAGGAAACAAATACACAAATAAACAAAAATGAAGTACTAATAAAGATAGTGGGCACCGAGCAACTTTGTGCTGCGGTGCCAGGCATGCCTTGGCGCTGCGGGCAGAAGAAACGGTTACCTCCATCCTTGCCGTCCATCTGTGCTGGTGATGTTTACGCAAGGGTTTCGCCTTTCGATTGGATGAATTGCGCCTCGACCGGTCTTTCTTCAGAACGCGAGGATCTTTTACGCGTTGCTGCCGGCCTGTCGACGTGAATCGATTCGATCGATTCCTATTCCCTCTTCAGGCGCAAATCGTTGACTGATGCACGGGCAGCTTGTCCACCCCTCCTCGTGCGGTTTCGTTTGCCTGCGCGTCTTGGTCGCCTTGGCAGTTGTGCTCTCCGCCCCGTAGCGGCACAACCTACGCGGCGAGGTGTGGTGCTGGCCCACCTCGTCGACACGCCAACCCGATGCCTCCGGTCAGTGTGTGACTAAAATGTGAAATATGCACGATATAAAATGGTAATTCATATTTCGCATTTCTGACCGCGAATCCCACCAGGCACCGCGTTACGAGAACATTCTGGCTTCTCGGTATCTCTTGCATCTGCCACGAGCTGAGGCCTCGCGCCGCTTGAAGTCTGCGTTCGCTCCGCGTGCAAAGGGCACTCACCGCTTGCCGACAAAGTCACAGCCGAGCGCCGGTGCGTGAGCCACGAACAAACGGGTTGCTCTTCTTCTCGTGGCCGATGGTCGTGAAGGGGCCGTGGCCGGGTACAACCATCAGCTTGTCCGGAAGCACGTACAGCTTGGCCTGAATGGACTGTAGCAACTGCGCTCCGTCTCCACCTGAAACCAAGGTTGTCATGCATGAGAATCATAGGTGCTCGCCCGAGCGGTACCTACCTGGAAGATCGGATCGACCGACGCTACCACAGAACAGGGTGTCGCCTGACGAGAGCAGCGCCGTCTTCGAGCCACTGTGATGGAGTAGAAAGCAGCACGACCCCTGCTCAAATGAAGTCAGTGACTGGTCGTTTCGGGTCCACCATCTCCTTCCCAGTATACCTGCGAGTGGCCTGGTGTGTGCATCACTTTACACTTGATCGAGTCTTCAGCGAGGCTCAGCTCCAGACCGTCTTTCAACTCTACGTCCGGCGGCGGCAGCGTGTAGGACGCGACGTCCCCGCTCTCGTCTTTGCTGTCTGAAGCAACCGAGTGGACGTCTTGTGTGAGGTACGGCGCAATACAGAAGGCCAGAAGGCTCCCCTCACGCACCTTTGGCAGACGGCACATACTGCTCCAGCGGTACGCCGAAAGAGCAGCACTGGAGGCCGAGGTGGTCATACATGTGGCGATCGTTCGGATGCAGTGCGATCAACGTCTTCTTCTTGGACTTCTCCTCTGCACTTCGCTTCACTTCTCCTGCGGCCAAGATATCTTCGCCACCCGCTGTAAGCAAGAAAGGAGCTACGTCCCGCGGGGTAGCTGGGGGGAAGAGGGGGAGGGGGTACGGTCGAAGTGGGCATGCGTGATGAGGATGTAGCGGATATGCCAATCACCGCAATAGCGCATGATGGTGTCCGCATCGCCGCCCGGGTCAACCACCACGCACTCTTGGTGGTTTGTTGGTTTAGTGCCCTACCTGAGGGGGGGGCTTGCATTGACCAATGCCGCAGCAACCACCTACGGGGAGGGTGCCAACAACATACCTTGCGTCTGCGGGTCGCCAAAGATGATGCAATTGCACTGTAGGGGGCCTACCGGCACGACCTGCACCGTCTTCTGCGCCCTGTCCGACATGACGCTGAACAAGTTGCTTTTCTTTCTCCTTTTCCTCTTGAAGGGGGGGGGGGAAGAGGCGAAGGACAGCGTTTGAACAGTGTTCAAAGATTAACATGAAGATGAAGACCTGTACAGGCGTTGTTTGTTTGCTCATTTGCTGAGGAACGCCTCGATGGCGGAGACCTCGCCCTGCTTGACCGAGCACTCGGCGAAGGAGACCTTGAAGGGCAGCTGGTCCATCTTGAAGGGCTCATCGGCGGCGCCGAGGGTGATCTCCTCGACGTTGCCTCCCTTCTTACCGTCGATGTCGGCCAGCGTACCGCGCGCGCTGCTCTCGCGCAGGTGGTTGCTGCATTGCGGAGGGTAATGGGAAGCATCAGTGCCTGGAGACACACGGAGGCCCATGAAGAGGGCTCATGGACTCTACTTGGCGGTGAAAACGTACAGCTCCTTCTCGAGTTCGCCCTGAATGAATTCCTTGCGCTTGGCGGTGACCATCTCGTTCTTGTTGCAGGCAATGAGAATGGGTGTCCTTCGCCTGTTCACGGTCTTGTTGGTGAACAGATCAAACAGGAACCTGTAATCACACACACACAACACGATCAGCTGAAAAGGCAACTCGAGCCAAATGGGCCATGGCATCGCGTGGGCAGGGCAGTACTGCGCGTTCTGGGTAAGCTGGGAGCGGGACTCAACGGAATCGATCAGGTACACGATCCCCTTGGTGATCGGGAGGAAGGTGTCCAGCTGCGAGCGCAGCCTTTGGTGGCCTGTGTGTGTGTTGTGTTGTGTTGTGTGTGGCGTGGTCAGACATGCAAGGGGTTGTGAACGCACGGGGGAGTGAGCAAGAGAGGAAGAAAGCAACGAACCGGGGAAGTCAACGACGTGGACCTGGCGACCGCTCGAGGGCAGCTTGAAAGTGACGTCGTTCTCTTTCATGGTGGTCACAGTTTCCGCCACCCTTCCGTTTTTCAACTGTTCCCACACAACAAGAAGAGGAGGAGATGAGCTACAGGGCCGCCAAGCACAGACCGGCACAGGAAAGATGGATGGATGATTAGATGGGAAGGTACCAGACACATGAGGGCCGTCTTGCCCGAGCCGCACAGACCGACGAAGAGGAAGGAGTTGCCGCTCTTCTTACCTCTGAAGATGACGCTCAACAGGAACAGGACGACAAGCAGGCCACCGATCGCTGCGGCCAGGAACTGCGGCGGCGTCACTGGCAGACCGAACTCGTCGATCTTCTTCTCCAGTACTTCATAGTACTGTAAATCGGGGGAGGGCACAGTGATGAGGACTGCTCAATGGACGGCAATTTGTTCAATTAAATTAAATGATTGTGTAGAGTAGTACCTCTGTGAAGTTGGCTTTCTGCAGTTGTTCCAGATGCTCCATTTGTCCAATGATAGGAAAGATGAGATCTGTTGATTGCCTCGTGTAATTGCTGGCTACGCGGCACCAGTCACGGTACGCATTGACCTTCTTTTCCCTGCGTTGACCATATTTTTTTGTTGTTTTCCTTTTTCTTTATTAATTCATTTCTTGTTGTACAACAAGAGACAAGAGACCTCAGTAGTCATTGTCGTCACCGTCCTTCTTCTCCCAGAAGGGCTTGGACGGCTCACCATTGAGAGACACCACCTCGTCGGTCAGGTCGTACCCGCTCGTCGTGGCCTGCTCCCCGATCCGCACGCCGAAGGTGATGCTCTGGAAGTTGAGCGACATCGACTCCTGCGGCCTGTTATTGCGGCCGATCGAGAGCGAGAAGCCTGAAATAAAAACAGTGTCCATCTCGAAGCGGGTGGTCGCCTTGTCCGAGCGCTGGACCACCTCCACCACGGCCCGGCGCACGGGCTTGCGCAGGACCGTGTGGTGGAAGACCACCGGCGACGCGGCGTCGCTCTCCTTGGTCACGGTGATCTCGCTCACCGACGGCGACGAGCAGTTGACGCTGGACCTGACCTTGCGCTCCCAGGCCTCCTCCTCGGTCTCGCCCCGCTCCTCGGCGGCCTTGGCCTCGGCTTCCTCGTCCTCCTTCTTCTTGCGCTCGGCCTCGAGCTGCTCGGGCGTCTGGTTGCGGCGGTAGCGGCGGTTGCGGCCGCCCACAGCGAGGCCCACGCCGAACTGCGCCGACAGGCCCTTGATCCAGCCCTCGTGCCCGGGCTCGGTGACGGGACCCTTAATGCCCTCTAGCAGAATGTACACGTCCACCGCCGGTTCGTTCTCCTTCTGCTGGTTAGCCATTGTCTTTTAAGTGTACACTTGTTGGTGTGCTGGAGGTGGAGAAGGGGATAGCTTGCGGTAGAGGCACTGTGACGGGGGGGGGTTGAAGTGAAAAGTGCCATTGCACCCAAAGTAATTTGGCGGAGTGAAGAAAGAAAAGCAAAAAAATGAAGCGAGAAGAAAAGCGAAAGAAAAGCGATGCTCTCCTAAACGCGTTTTTGGGTTCAGGTCAGGGTGAACATGTTGATGTACCAGTCGAGCTTGTCCTGGTTGATGGTGATCTTGTGACCCGACAACTCGGACCTGGCGGTGTAGCACTGCAGAAAGGCAGGGACGTGTTTCTCCAACCCGTTGAATCTGAGGCTCCACACGGCGCTGGCCAGGTCCACGTATCGATCGGCCACGCCAGCCGAGCCCAGGTCCACGAAGCCGACCACTCGCAGCTCCGCCTCGGTTTCACCGGCCTGATTGTTGAGGATCTGGAAGATGACGTTCGGCAGGCAGTAGTCGCCGTGGGTGAACACCAGATCGGATTCGACGTTGGGCGGCGGTTTTGCGACATGGGCTAGAATGGCCTCCAGCCGCTCTGCGTGGCCGGGCACCTCGCCCACACGCAGCCTCCGCTCCACCCGGGCCACTCGCACCGCCACCCGCCTGTCGAACTTGGCGCCCAGGTCTTCAGCACTGCGCAAGAGGGCCGTCGAGTGCTGGCCGTGAAGGCTTTGCAAGCCGCCGGCGAAGCTCCTCACCAGCGCCTCGGGCCTAGACAAGGCCTCAGCGGTCGCGCCGTGCACGCCCGCCAGTGCGCTGATGAGCAGGAAGTCGGCCTGGCCTTCGCCGCCTTGGGCGTAGTGGAGCACGTGTGGGGCTGGTACGTCACAAGACTTCAGCAGCTGCATGACCGCCACGTCAGCGGCCAGCGTGCCAGCCGGGGCCATCTTGAGGTAGGTCGATGACGGCAGAGGGGGCGCGGCAGTGGCCGTGGTTGGAGAGAGCGGTCGTTGTAGATGCCAAACCGCTGCACCCGAGCACCCAACAGAGACACGGCACCACGTGGCTCCCTCCGTGAGCCGCTCGAGTTCAGCCCCCAGCCGCACATCTTCAACTTCCATCTTTCTGACAACGTTTCTCTTCTTTTTCGCGAAACTCAACACACAAGGCTGAGTTGAAATGTAGATTGAAAAAAAAGGGTTTGAAGTGTAAAGGGGGTTTGCCTGCAAGGGCGGGAGAGGGCGAGGGTGAGGGGAGGTGAGGAGACGAGCCGGAGAAGGAGCGCAAGGAGCGACGGTTGGAATCGCTCCGTATCCTATCAGGCGCGACCGACACGAGCATCTGGGGCTGTGTTTTCCGGAGGCGCCTTCATTCGCATGCACTCTTCTTCGTCACGGTCCGTCCCTCGCCTCGTCTCTCACCGACTCGCCGCTTCCCTTCCTCGAGCTTGGCGCCCTAGAGGGAGTCCTTCTCCATCAGGGTGAGGATGTCCTTCTCGATGGACTTGGGGTCGGTCGGCGGGCCGTAGCGCTGGACAGGCTTTCCCTGCTTGTTGATCAAGAACTTGGTGAAGTTCCACTTCACGCCCTTGATGCCCAGGGATCCGGGGAGCCTACACAGTGTGTACATACGGACGGACAGACAAACGAACAGCGAAGGTGAGGTGAGCCCAATGCAAGACGAGCCAGTGGGCGTGGTGGGGGCGGGTGGAAACGTACTCGTCCTTGAGCCACTTGAAGAGCGGGTGGGCCTGAGGTCCATTCACGTTAACCTTGTCAAACAGAGGGAAAGTGACGTTGAACTTCTTGACGAACTCCTTGATCTCATCGTTCGTGCCCGGCTCTTGCCTACATTCAAGATATATAGCATCAAATAAAGAGAAAGGTGAACGCGCGCTCGGTGCCGACATAACTACGTGCGCTCGCTGGGGCACTCGCTCACATGGCCGCGCGGCTGGGAGAAACGTACTTGCCGAATTGATTGCACGGGAAACCCAGAACGGTGAATCCCGATGCTCCATGAGTCTCCACCAACTGTAGCGAGAAAGCAGCGCGTTAGTTCTAGAGCGGGGTGATATCGAGCCGCGCGAAAGAACGGCGTGCGAAGCGTACCTCTTGAAGCTGCGTATAGTTCTTCGGGGTCAAACCTCAGAACGATGCCACGTTGACGACCAGCACCACTCGACCGGAGAACTCGCTGAGCGAGACCGGATTCTTGTCGATGTCGAGAGCGTTGAAGTCGTACAGAGTGGTATTCTCGGTGACTTGCGGTCCGGCCGCTTCGGTGTCCACAAAGCGGTAGAACTCGTTGGCGTCTTCGAAGGGCTTGTTCTGGTCGCTGACGTGCTCGAAGAAGCCCTGGGAATCACACCGCGCACAGTGCAAGGTGAGCCACACGATCGAGTTTGAACAAACTGGTGACCAGCAGGGGTTGAGGTGTGAGGCGACAGCGTACCATGCCCAGCATTTTCTGGCCCAGTTCGACGGCTTGCACGCGGGAGACGTTGAACTTGTCTACGATCCAGTCCGTAGCCTCAGAGCCTGTCGAGCAGGTTTGCAGGTGGCGACGGTGTGAGCGGGTTCGTGACGACGTCCGATAAAGAAAAGATGAGGAAAAACGAACCAACAAAGCAGTGGTCATACGAGCGCAAGAAGTGTCGCCTCTTCTTGACTTCGATGCCGCTGGCGAACGCCACAAGGACGTCATCAAGCTGCAGCCCCCCAAGCACACGAAGTGGTGGGGCGAGTTAGCACGCGCATGAAATGACGCTCGACGGCGGTGTCAGCCAGGCGCGCACCTGGTCGGACGAGATCTTGTTATTCTCCCCGAGAATGTCGCTGTCGTCTTCATCTTCGTCGCACTCGCCGCCAGTGAAGTCCACCTAGAGCAGCGCGACACGCCAGCAAAGCGTTAAACGCTTGGGCGTCTTCCAAGTACGCACGAAAACGCACAATGCAGGCAGAGCGCCCATGTGTGTGGGTACGTACCGTGAAGCGGTACAGGACCGACGCATCATAGAAGGGCTTGCCCTGCCTGCGGCTGCTGACCGGACGGAAGAGACCCTGCACGACGAAGTCAGCACTATGTGCTGTGGTCCACCGTCAGCAAAAGAAGGAGGCGGGTGTGTACAGTGTCCATCAGCTGCTGGCATATCTCGACCGCGTCCTTGCGCCTGCGTAGGCCCACCACGTTGGTGTAGACCCAGTCCACCATTTCAGAGCCTGGACACAACGCGCGTGTTGAGAGGGTCACTCTCCTTCTTCTGCTACTTAGGAACGTGGTTGAGGCTTGGGCTTACCGACAAAGGTCTTGGGGTAGGTGCGAAAGAAGTAGCGCCTGTCTTGGACCGACACCCCCTTCTGGGGGTCCCGCAGCCGCTCTGCCAGCGCACCGACCTGCGAGCCAGCCCCCCGTCAGCGATTTGATGCTTGAAAAAAAAAGAGATTTTTCATCAAATCCGAGAAGCAAATCACACAGGGGAAAAAGCGTACGTCGGTGCACTGAAGACGGTCGGGAGCTTCCATCCGCTGTGCGGTTGTGTGTCTTGTCTTGAAGATGGGTTGCCTTTATCGTGGTGGTTTGTTTTGAAAAAAAAAACCGCCGAATCCCACCAATCGCCGACCGGGCGCAATAATCCCCAACAAGAGAAGGCTGGGTCCATGTGCGCAGACGCATATTTTTAAGGTGGTCAGGCCACGGGTGCGAAAATAGCCACCTTAACATTCGTGTGGCTACTGGAGCTTGATTTCAGAGTGATTACAACTCTTGAGGGTAATCGAGGGCGAGAAGCAGTAGCCGAAGGCGGTCACGTCCCTCCCGCTGCTGGGCCGTGTTGCCGAGCACCGAGCCACTTCGTAGAGGCACTCGCCGATGCCGTAGGGCGACAAAGGAAAGGTGAGTGGTTCGGGAGCGGCGGGAATCGAACCCACGTGAGATGGTGTTTGCCGTTCCGCTTTGCCACTAAGCTACACTCCCATCAACACACCAACCGCTTGCCCCAGCAGTTCGAGTGCCCAACAACACCCCATTGCTTACGCCTTCGAAGCGTGTGTGTCGTGTGTGCGTGTGTGCTGTTCCGTTGATTAATGCCGACATCTATGTACACAGCCTACAATCGAGTGACTTCGGCGATGATGTCGGCCAGCGAGATCATGCCGATGGGTCGTCCGCCGTTGTCCTTCGGTTTGTTGGGTTCATGCTTCGCCTTCCGGTCGTGTCCCTTGTCACCCTCCTCCTCCTCCTCATCGTCGTCGTCCTCTTCGTCGGCGAGCAGCCAGATCCGGTTGACCTCCTCGCGGGCCATCTTCTCCAGGAGCTGGAGCAGGGTCGTGTCGCGCCGGCAGGTGACCAGGGGCTTCTTCTCCTTGAAGCAGGCCAGGTACTCCTTGATCGACATGTGAAGGCACCGCATCATCGCGAAGGGCTCGAAGTTCTTGAGGTCGCTCGAGCTCAGGTGCGAGATCAGCTTCCCGGCCTGCGCCGCCCGCACCACCATCTCCTCGCGCGTGATCCGCGCCGGCGCCCGCTTGCCGCGCGACCCGGATGGCTTGCGCTCCTTCGTCGTCGCCGACCCGTGGTGGGTCTTGGCCTTGGCCGGGACCGTGTCCGACGCGTCGTGGGCGTTGGCCCGCTTCGAGGCGCTCAGGCCCAGCGGATCGCTCTGGGACCGCGTGGGCTTGGTATGCGAGGACAGGGCCTGCGAGTCGGTGGTGCGCTTGGGCGAGGCCGGTCTCTGATGGTTGGTGGCGGACTGCTGGCTCGGGTGGTGGTTGGCGGTCGAAGTCGTGGTCGTCGCTGCGTTGTTGCCTGGCTCGTCCTCCGATGACGACGCGGCCGAATCGTCGCTGTCGCTCGAATTGTCGCTTTCGCTGCTGCTCTCGTCATCGTCGTCGCTCGAGCTGTCGCGCGTCGCTTCGACCATGGCCTTGGCCTCCTTCAAGCTGGGTCCCCTGGCCTTCTCCTGATCCTTCCTCCTCTTTACGCTTTCCTCCTCTTCGCCAGACGAAGAAGACGAAGATGACGAAGACTCGTCGTAGCTGTCGCTTTCGCTGCTGCTGCTCTCGTCGTCGTCGTCGACGTTGCGCTCCTTGCCCTTCTTCTCGAGCACGCCGAGCGCCGACACCTTGTAGTTGTAGATGATCTTGAAGGCGTCGATCACACTGCGGTCGGCCGAGATGGTGAAGAGGTGCTTGTTAAGATCGAGCTTCTCCTTCGAGTGGCTGTCGTTGGGCGTCGGCGGCGGCGACGGGTTCTTCTTGTGGTTGGCCACCTCGACTGTGCTGCCGCCGTCGACGCTGCCGAAGGGTACGATGAGCTTGCTCATCCGCCGCTCGCGCTTCCTGGCCCGGAAGTGGTCAAAGTTGTTGATCATCTCCTCGGTCTCGAAGTAGATGAGCTCCTTACCCAGGATCGCGTCGGCGAAGGCGCCCCAGTGCCGCACCTGCCGGTTGGCCAGCTCGCGCACGAACGGCGAGCGCGCGCGGTTGTCCTGCACCACGCGGTGGAGCCACCGGATCACCACCTTGGTGTCCAGCACGCGCACCAGGCAGCGGCTCTCGGCCGGCAGCTGGCTCTGGTCGTACACCGGCAGCACCCGGAGGCCCTTCTCGCTGCGCAGCATGCGGAACACGGCGGGCATGCGGTCGTTGGCCGCGATGCGATGGCCGCCCTGGCCGCCCGTGCCCTCGTCGTTGACCACGTGCGCACCGTTGGTGCCGTAGATGTTGACCAGCTCGCGGATCTTGTGTTGGGTGAACTCGACGCCCTGCCGTCGCACCTCGTCGATGCCGATGTCGGCCGACGGCGGCCGCGGGAACTTGAACACGGCGAAGGTGAGCAGGTCGCGCAGGTCGATCCACCCGAGCACCGTCTTGCCGCGCTGCTTCCGCTGCTTCCGCTCGCGCTCGCGGGCCAGCTCGGCCTTGCGCCACTTGCGCAGATGCCGCAGCGCACGCTCGCGCACCTCGTCCTCCTGCGTATCGCCGCCGCAGCCGCCGCCGTTCTCCGCCGCGCTGGCCTTGGCGCCCTCGGCCTTGCCATCGACCTCCTTGAGGCAGATCGGCAGCGCGTTGAGCCCGCGCTCGCTCATCACGTCCAGGGCCTCCTTCACCGTCGTCTCCTCCGTGAGATAGGCCACCTTCTTTCCGCGGCAGGGGTCATCGTCATCTTCATCGTCGTCGTCGTCTTCGCCTTCATCGTCCTCCCACAGCTCGGAGACCTTGAAGCCGGAGAAGAAGCGCTCCCACTCCTTGCGGCGGCCCTCCTTGCCCGACGAGGCGTTGAGGCCCCACCACGGCAGCCGCGCGGCGCCCTTGACCCGGTCCTCCGCGAGCCGCACCCGCCGCTCTTCGTCGATCAAGCCGGGCGCGCCGCCGACGCCGACCTGCTGGAACTGGCGCTGGAGCTCCATCAGGTCGATGCCCTCCTCCCCGCGCTCGGCGTAGTCGCACTCGCCACTGGAAGGCGACGAGGTTGGGGGTTGTTGACCGCCGCTGCCGCCGTAGGTGGTGCCCTTGACCCATGCCTGGCCTGGCGACGTGGCTGGCGGGCTGGCACTCCGCGCTGCGGCTTCGGCGCGCTTGGTGGCTCCGTGACCCAGCGCCAGGAAACTCGAGCGGTGCTTCTCTCTTTTCTTCGCCGTTTCTCCTTCGTTTTCGTTCTTTTTTTGGGCCGCGGAAGGTGGAGATGACGATGAGGCCGCTGCGGGGGAAGGGGAGCGATCCGGGGGGTTGTTGGTGGATAGGACGGCCCCCAGGCGAAGCTCGCGGTGGTGCCTCTCCCTGGCCTCGGCCCGACGCCGCTCCTTTTCGTCGTTGATCAGAAGCGGGTTGCTGCTGTTCGATTGACGATCCCCCTGCCGCCCGCGGTTGTTCGTCGCAGCTGCGCCGGCGGAATATGGAGATGAAGATGACGACGCGCTCCGCTTGATGTGAGATTTGTAGCCGGGAAGATTCATGCCGCACATGACGGTCTGAGGGATCTCCTTGATGTGGGACGATGAGGCGGTGGTCGAGTCGAGTTGCGCCTTCTTGTCGTAGGTCTTGATCATCTCGTCCTTGCGCTTCTCCCTCTCCATCTTGCGCTTCATCTCCTCCTTCCTGCTGCCGCCCTCCTTGCTCGCGTTCTTCTTCCTCATCTTCTGCAGCAGCTTCATCTTGAAGCTCTTGCTGCGACTGAAGCTCTTCCTATCCCGCTCCTCCTTCACCTCCTCCACCTCCTCCTCGCTCCTTTCCTCCTCGCTCTCCTCATCTTTCTCCTCCTCCCTCTTCGTCGCCCTCTTGTTGTCCTCCGCCGCCGCCGCCTTCTTGCTGGACTGGTGGTCGCCACCGCCGTGATGGTGGAAGGCCGGCATGCTCGACAGTCGCTTCATCGCCTCCATCTCTTCTCATGCCTTCACCTTCGCTCGCCACGTCGTTGTGTTGTCGCGAGTGTGTTCTCGCGTGGGTGGGTAGGAGAGGGAGATGTGGGTGTGGATGTGCGCATGCAAGCGCGAGCGAGAGCGAGCGATCGAGTGAAGAGCAGAAGAGCGCTCGGTCTGCGGTTCGGCCGTCCGCGGGACCTGTCAGTGTCACTGACCGTCGCTCGCGGCCAGCTTCCCGAATGGGCGGCGACCACCAAAAATAAAAGCAAAGCCTAGAGAGTAGGCCAATCAAACCGCCCGCAGACGCAGCGAGACAGCCAGGTGAAGAGTGTGGCAGGGCTGGCAAGCACATCAAACACCACGCGATCAAGGGCCTCCTAATCCGGGCACCTGCGAGCACTGAACGATCCCGCGAGCGGACGTATTCTGGCGCGTGATCAGAGGGCTCTTGGCCCACCACCTTCCTCGCCTTCGGTGCGGTCAGGCCATCACTCTCTGTCTCGAGGCTGACACACCGTTCCACAGTGCAACTGAAGATCTTCGAGGGTGTTCGGTAACCGACGGGAGGCTGTTCTTTGCAGGAGGCTAGGAGGGAGTGACCTTTACCGGATCGATCAGCCAACGCCACCCCGCTCCAACGTTGGTCAGCAATGGAAACCACACGTGACCCAGAACTGAGGACCAAGAACTCCAGTAATCAGGCCATGTCCTGTGCTTTATGGTCAATCGGGGAAACTTGCATCCCTCTGTGTGCTCACCTTTGGCACAAGGTACAATAGTTACTTCCTGCAGCGGTTGTTCCTGTGGCGGAAGCACAGGCTTTACTCCCACGCCCGCTGGGCCATGTTCGTCCGCTGCCCGAAGCAGGCCTCGACAACCGATCGGCCGAGGAGGAGCCTGGCTGCATTCGTTCGAACCCTGGAACTTTGACTTTCTATTGGTCACACGCGAGCCAACCGGTGGCGTCGCTTCGGAGCGGGCACTCATTCATTATCGGGCGTGAGGCCGCGTCTGTGCTTGTTGGTGATCTCGCGCAGCTGCATGCTCCACAGGGTCTCCTGGTGCTGCAGGTGCTCGAGGATGCGCGCGTTCCTCTCCTCCATGGCCAACAGCAGCCGGTTGTTGTCTTGCGCGATGTCCTTGTGCCCCACCGCGCTGGCAAACAGCACCGCCACCGCCACACACAGGCTCGCCTATGTGTTGTACGAAGTAATTGGCGTCAGAAAAACGACCGCGCGCGACCACACGCACTGCACGCGACCACAGGGCACATGATGGTGGGGAGGGTACCCAACGTGCTGCGATGATGAGGGAGTCGGCACTGGCCCAGGGGAAGAACTGGAGATCGTACGAACGCAACAGCCGCTCGACTAGAACATTCACTAAGACGACTAGAGCACGCAGGGGCGTTAGAAGACGCAGAGACGCATGCAAGTGGCCGGGACATACCAATGATTGATTCGCCAACGCGCAGAGCCGGTGAAGGAGAAGGACGTGAGAATAAACGTAGCGATGAGGAATGCACTGTAGAAGGCGATCGACTTCATATCGAAGAACTCGCCTGACAGTGTGAGAGAAGAAGATGAGCCAAATGAACGTGAACGTGCCGGCGTGGTACGCTTCTGTACCCAAGATCGACCGCTGGAACTCGGCGACCTTCTCAACGCTCCCGATCAGTTCGTTCTGAAGAGAAGACAGCTTTGTGTGCTGTTCGTGAATGGCCGCGATGGTGCTCTCTGATCTGTCATCATGGTACGCAGGGCACTTGCCGTGAGGAAAGCGAAACGTAGCGCGGTGCTAAGAGTTCCTGGTGTGCTTACTTGGTGGCCAGTTCGCCGATGTTGTCGACCGCGTTTTGAAAGGCCGAGGTCTGCACTTGGACCAGCTGGTGGAGGTGGTGGCTGGCCGTAGTTGAGTCGGTGATTATTTCCAGCAATTGCTGCCATCACCACAACGAGTGAGCAAGTTCCGCATGGATCCACACACACACACACACACACGCACACACGCGCGCGCGCGCACACACACACACAACTGGCGACCAGGGCAGCACATACCTGCTTGGTGTTGTCGTGCAGCTTTTGCTGTTGCTCGAAGAACTCTTGCTGTGACTCCACGAGCTGACCCTGGAATTCTTTGATGCTCTGCACCCGCTGCAGAATCGATTTCTGCTCCTCCAGCAGCATCGTCTGCGCTTCGGTGGAGTGTTGCATCTGCTCACGCACGAATGCCGACTCGCTGCTCATGTGCTTGAAGAAATCGAGACCTTGCGCGTGCATGCGTTCCTGTTGCTCGCGGAACTCGGCCTGCCGCTCCCGGATGGCCTGTTGGCCTTGGATCGTCTCCTCAACGCCGGCTTGAATGTGGCCTGCGACGCATACAATCGAGTTCTCGACCCGTGAGCAACGAATGCACGTTGGTGGAGGGGGGCGTAGACAGTGAGACCTGATAACAGCTGCAGCTCACCAAAGTGGGCTTGCATGGAGCGCAGGCCCTCAACTTGTTCGTCCTTCAGCTCGTCTATGGTCTCGCGCAGGGCCACCTGGCTGCTGGCCAGCTCACCTTGCGCCTGCACCGAGTGCGACCTGCAGAGGACAACAATGAGCAGAGTTGTTGCAGTGTGCAGGCCATCTGCAGTGATAGAATCCGTACAGCATTTGATTCATATTTGACGACAGCTGCTGCAGGTCTTCCATCGACTCGAGCGTGGCCGTTGCGGTGAAGGCCAACGCGGATATGGTCCGCTCCGTCTTCTCCTGGAAGTAGACGCTCTGCACGAAGTAGCAGATGTTCTCCGAATGCAGCAGGAACTCTGCGCAGAGGATCCCATGGGAACGCGTACGTCAATGTCCTGCCCACGAGAGCTTAAAAAACCCCCAGGTGCACGTACCGGTGTAGGCGTTGAAGGCGATGGGGTTGTTTGTGATCGGTCGGGTGCTAGAGAGCGATGACATGAATGTGTCAGACAGAGGCTCTGGGTGCGTGCGAGAGAGAAGATAAGGCAAGTGGTGTACAAGGTACCATTCGATGAGCTGCATGTCGTTGGTGCACGGGTGCACAGGCAGCCCGGAGCGTTCCATGTGGCAGTTGGCCAGTTGCATCGCAAACTTGCTGCGTTCCGCATCTGCTTCGCACTTCGTCAACCATTGAAACAGAAGGAGGACAGACAGATCATTCGTACCGTCCATGGCCTTACAGCCCTCGACAAGGTTCTCGACTGCTCGCTTCCAGCACAGGCTGTGCACCGACTGGCTCACCTCCACGTCCCTATAAATTCTCTCCAGCGCATCTAACCATTGCAGTGTCAGCTAACGAGCCAAGGGCAAATTACGTCAGTGGTGATGGGGTACTTCTGCCGTGGGTTTCTCGAGTCGCTGAAGTACGGTCGAGTTGGTAATGAGCCCCCGACGCAGGGCAGATGAGCGCAGCCACCATAGCTAACGCCATTGCTTGCAGTACTGCGTTTGTGTAGAGGCTGTGCATCTTCGGTCACTTGACGTAATCCAAAGGCGGTTAAGATTGTGGTTGTTCTACGGTGGGTGAAGTATGAATAGTGGAGAAGAGAGCCAGCTCCGCATGAAGAGGACTCTGCGGTGCCAACCCATCGCCAGCAGCATGACTCTGTCAGCCCGAGACATGAGCGTGCCAGCGCCAAGATCAAGCAGACACTTTATTGTCGACTGCACCATACTAATAAGGAGACGCGTGAGCATCAAAGGGGACGAGCACTTGAATTGACCATGAGTCGGGTGATGGTGAAGCAATTGGTGAACGTGCATCGGCCAGGATGTAACTACGCGGAGCCGATGATGGTCTGGATAGACTTGTCGATCGATGCGCGCACACCGGCGCCCGATGCCCAGCCCAGCATTGCGGCCCCAGCGCACACGGCGATGCCTGTAGGGAGTGTCATGATGGTGCGAAGCAGAAAGGCGAACACGTGGTGTTGATGTGTCGTACCAGAGATGAGGCACTTCGCGACCGAGCGCAGCCTATCTTTGTTGGGCCTGGGCTGCAGCTTCGCCTCGTCGTAGTACGCATCGTAAGTGTAGTAGCGCGTCAGGGAACACTGCGCGACAGACCGATGCCATGTGAGCGGAGGCGGCAAACACAACCACGCCAGGGCAGCGAATAAAAGAGGTGTAAGCACCAGGACGGTCGCAACAAGAGCTGGCCGGGCACCCACGCTACAGGCCACCCCCACAGGAACAAACCAGGCGAGAAGGCCCCACATGTGCTTGGCTACCATCAAGCAAGACCCACAGTGAGTAAGCAACACGCCAGACACACTCGCACGCGTGTCGGTTTGGGCGCCGAAGACAGACCTGTGATGAAGGACACCTCCTGCAGCTCTCCGTCGCGGTATTTGAGTACGGGCAACAGCTCGCTGTGCATCGCGCTGAACCGAACAGCGAGTGAGGCGCAGAAGCAAGAAGCTTGCAAGGTGAAGGGGCGAGTACATGGGGTTGTGGTTGCTGCCCTTCTTCCATCGCTCAATCCTCATGTTGTGCTCTTCAATGGCCTGCCGTATCTTCTCCTCCTTGAGGCTTTCCACTTCCTGCCCCCTGCCACAGTTAACGCAAGAGGGGACACAGAAGAAGTGAAGGGGAGGGAGAACCATCATGAATTGCATTTTGACGATGAGCCCCTGATCTTTGCGCTCGGCGTTGGGTGATCGACCAAATCGACGGACGAAGAGGGGTGCCCAAAGGTCACAGTCCGAACCTATGGCGTACCAGCGCCACGAGACCTGGCAGCAGCGGGCCAAGTCCTTTTCATTGCCCAAGCACTCCAAGATGTGCAACAGTACCTCGTCCGGCACCTGCTCCATCTTGGTGTGTGGCCTTCGCTGATTGCATTGTTGTTGGGCCTGAGTGGCTACCTCGGAATTCTTCATTGCCCCATCACTTGTGAAAGTATCCTCTTTATTACGGGGGTGTAGCTCAGATGGTAGAGCGCTCGCTTAGCATGCGAGAGGTAAAGGGATCGATACCCTTCTCCTCCAATTCTTTTTGTTTATGGCTGCTCCGAGCATTAATCGCGGCATGGACGAAGGAGAGGAAGGAGCCCCTTTGGTGCTGGACAACGGGGGCTATCGGGTGCGCCTCGGTACTTCTTCCAGCTTTTGCTGCCTGCACCAGGCACTCACGACGAATAGGCTGGGGTGGAGCCGAAGCCCCGGTCTCCACCATAGAGCCCGTGGTGGGCTACCCCTTTGCTAGCGGAGTCACGGTGGGAGTGAGAGACAAGGACCGCTACGTCGGAGATGAAGCGCGAAGCAAGCGGGACTATTTGGCCCTCCGCTTCCCAGTTTGCCTCTGTGTGCCACTTTGCTTCCGCGCACACCTTGACCTCTGCGCTCACCCGCTCTTTACACCGCAGATACGCAACAGGTCGGTGGAAGGCTGGAACTGGATGGAGGATTTATGGTGCGTCACTGTCATGGCGGGCGCACCATGGTGTCACGTAGAGCGCTCACCGGCTTGTTTCCTGTGGTGCTGCAGGCGTCATCTGCTACCTGATATGGACCCAGAGGAGCACCCGATCATGGTTGCCGACTCTTGGATTGCCCCCGACGTTGCGCGTGCGACCACGATGGCCATCCTGTTTGAAAACTACAGCGTGCCCGCTTTGTCTGTGGCCAATCAGGTCCTCCCTCCCTTCGCCAAGCCCTTCGCCCACCCACTCCCAAGTGTCTCACAGCGCACCTGCCGACAGCAAGTCCTGGCAGCCGTCAGGGCCGGCCGGCCGACGGCCTTGGTGGTGGACATCGGCAATGACGACACGCACATCATCCCGGTCGTCCAAGGTACCGCACATACTTTTTGGGGAGGCCACTGGCGGGCATGTGCTGGTGCGATGACTACAACCGTGCAAGCAGTTTCTCGCTTACCCTCTCCTCTGCAGGCGAAGTCCATGGCAATGGGGCGGTGCAGCTGCCTGGCCTGGGCGGAGCGAACCTCACCAAGTACTTGGCGACACTGCTCAAGAAGAAAGCGCCGACAACGCTCGATCTCGACAATCACGACAGCCTGGCCGCAGGTAGTCCCTCCCTTGTTTCTCTCTCACCTGGAGAAGATGTTAAACCAACACCTCCGGTCTGGTTGGTCAGACATAAAGCACGCGCTAGGCTACTGTTCGACGAATCTGGAACTCGATCGTCGGCTGGCCGCCATGCCCCAGGCCTCGCTGCCCTTCTACAATTCAATTCGCCTGAATGGGACCTACCTAGACCTTCTGCCAGGAGAGCTCCTGGCCGCGGTCCATCACTCGGTCCACCACCACTAGCATCGCCCGCCAGTACCAAGCCCCCGATGGTACGAGAGCCTCGCGACGGGATTGCGGTTGTGTGTGATGATTGACAAGCGGAGAGTTGGATTACTCGCATGGTCGCTGGCCACAGGCAGCATTGTGGAAGTGGGCAGCGAGCGATTCGAGTGCGCAGAGGCGCTCTTCCACCCACAGCCGCTGTGCGCTCTGGACAAGTACTGCTCGCCCAAGGGGATCCACTACGCCGTTGCGGACACCATCAACAGTCTCGACTCCACCGGACGAGATATTCAGTTACCTGCCTTGATCGTGGTTGTCTTGTTGTCGACATTGAACGTTTGAGTGCACTCATGTTCGTGCTCCGTGTGCGCCACAGGTCCGAGCTCAGTCGCAACATTCTGCTGATCGGCGCAACCGCCCGGCTCAGCGGCCTCTCCACCAGGCTGCAGCAGGAGGTCGACAAGCTGATCACCACAGGTACCCTTTGTCGACCAACTCAACCTGCAACACACACATTCACTAAGGTGTCGTGCGTGTTGCTTGAAGCTGGCCTGACTGTTCAGGTGTCTGTGCCTCCCAATCCGGAGCTTGCGCCGTGGATCGGAGGGTCCAAGGTCTCCAGCGCTCCGGGCATGATCGACCACTGGGTCTACAAAGAGGACTACGACGAATGCGGTGCGGATGATGAGCCCCACCCAACACCTCGTACACCACTCACTCACTCTCTGACCACCACCCACACCACCAACCACAACTGTAGGCCCGCGACTGCTCTTGGAGAGGCTGGAGACGGATGCGGCATGGTTCGCCGATGTTGCTTCGCGTTCATAGGCCGGGCCGATTACTTTGATGTGTGATGCCCCCCCCCCCTTCTAGGGAAAGAAGTGGGGCCAGAGCGCGGTGTAGGCGGTCATCTCCAGGTCGGTGAAGGTGCAGAACACCACTCGGTCAACTCGGTCCAGCACGTCGGGCGCTTCGAGCCAGCGCCTTACGGTCCCGAGAGCGATCTTGGCCGCCGGCACCATGGGGAACCCATAGAAGCCCGTGCCCTGGTGTCGCGTGCGTGTGTGTCGAATGTGTAGTGTGTGGCAAGTAAGAGTCTTCATTTGGGTACGAGCGAGCGGTGTAGTTTGTACCAGGCAGCAGAATGCGAGCGAGCGTACGTGCTGGCCATCGACGTGTCGAAGACAGCTCTCGTAGCACTGCGCGAGGAGGTGCCCCTGCGGCTGCCCGTCGTCGTCCAAGAGAGGCGCCACGGTGTGGATCACAAACTTGGCCGGCAGCCCGTGCCCCTCCGTTCGCAGCGCCTCCCCAACAGCACAGCGCTCTCCGAACCGGTTCGCTGGCAGCCGCGAGCACTCCGCCACCAGCTCTGGGCCTGGAGTCGAGTAACCACGCATGCAGTTCGTTACTACAGTGCTTGCTCTCCTCATCCATCTTTCTGACCAAGATGCTGGGGGGGGGGAATACCAGCGCGGGCATGGATGGCCTGGTCTACACCCCCGCCACCGAGCAAGGTCTCGTTGGCAGCGTTGACGATGGCGTCCACCTGCAGCGCCGAGATATCACCGCGTAACAGCTCGACCTTGGCGTTGAGGCGCGGGTTGGCACTGTACGGGGAGTCGCTCTTCACCTCTGCGAGGGACTGCACCTCGCGCTCGTTGAGCTCAATCAGCTCTCGTGGGTGGTCTTTCCTCTCCGCGTTGCGCTCTTGCTTGCTCTCTTCATCCATCTTTCTTTGCTCCCCCCCCCCATGCAGCTGCGTATTTTGCTACACTTCATTCGGTGAATGAACTACAAGACGTAGAACGTCTTCTCCTTCATCAACAGAGGCCGAAGCCACGGGCGTTGTCGATGGCGGTGGTGAGCATCTTCTCGAGCTTCTCCTTGCTCGCGTACTCGGGCAGAAGCAGGCGCGAGAAGCACGTGAACGAGGTGGGCAGCCTGTCCGTGTCCGGACCGTTGCGTTGGATGATGAAGGTGAGCTTCGAGATGCCCTTGATCGGCACGCGATCGCTGCCGGTGACGAAGGCCAGCAGGTACTTCTTCTGCTCCACCGACAGCTCGTGGACCACCTCCCAGAACGCCCTGCAGACCGTGCGAAGCTCATCAGAGGTACGCCCCGAGGATGGCACCCACGCAAGGCACGCACAAGTGCGTCACACATGGTGTACCTGATGGTGGGATGCTGCGGGTGATAGCCATCAAGGTAGACTGCGATCTTCTCGAGCTCGTTGAAGTCCAGATCGGCGCTGCCGCAGATGAGCTGCTCCAACTCCTCGCCGCGGAACAGCTGATCATGGCCCATCGCCGTGTAAGTGGACAAAGGTCGATAATGACGCAACGTGGAAGAGAGAGAGAGATGTGGTGTGTGCGGGAAGGTGAACCTGAAGCACCGGCCCACCGCAGACGGTCTCGAAGCCCAGGGCAAAGGCTTTGAACTGAGGAGCGATTGAGTCCTCGAGGAGGTACTTTACATACAAGTCAACGTACTCTGCAGGGGGGCACCACCATTAATGTCATCGATGACAGCATCGCGTGTGGTAGAAGCAGAAGGGTAATGGCGCCGTACCCTTTCGGTTGGCGTTGGTGACGGGGATGTCCTCTCCGCCGGGCTTGAGATCGTACACAACCCTCTCGCCGAACGTGTCGTGCTCCGTCTGGCCATTGGGCAAATCAGCGTCGCGCACTGTGAGCCTACGTGCGTGCATCTTGCGAACGTTGAACGTTGTTGGCGGGCGGTGACGTACCTGGAAGGTGAGGCAAAACACGTCTTCCACGTCGTCGCCGTCATAGTCGAGGAGCTGCTGTATACCCTTGGCCAGCATCTGACATGTGGTGCGCAGCGCGAGAGAAAGTGTGCGTGAGACACGAGGGTTCGTGTGGAGTTGGTGGCTTGCCAAGAGAGCGATTCTCGTGGGGTCAGCGCGGTACCGGCCGGAGCTCCTTGAGGTCGGCAAAGGTGGGTGTGTGGCCCAGCAGCTTTTTGTACACGACCACCGGCAGATGCAGGTCGAGAATGACTCCATTGTAGATGGCAAGGCCCAGAATCTGGTCCACGATGACATTGTCAGGCAATTCGTGTGTGTGTGTGTGTGTGTGTGTGTGTGTGTGTGTGTGTGTGTGTGTGTGCGGTGGCGTGTGTGCGGTGAGTACGGTGTCACTTCGTGTGCATGCGTACCATGCCGATAAGTTGGTACTGTTTCTCGGTTTCCAACGAGAAGGGATTGAACCAGACACGCCGCGTCTCCTCATCGTACGAAAACATGCCTGGACGCCAGCGCCACCCGAGGGTAAGTGCACACACACTTGGGCGGAGCTGAGAGGAAATGACGGTCTCACCGAACTTGGGGTCGAAAATCTCCTCGACGATGAGCTGGAAGAATTCCTTCTGCACGCCGCCCTGGTCGATGCCCTCTTCGCCCACAAACTTGACCTTGAGCGGCTTCTTCAGATCCCTCAATTTGGCCGAGACCTGGTACGACGGTTCAACAGCACGGTGGCGGCGGCGGTGGTGGTCAACACACAGTTTCGTCGATGGTATTTAGAGAGTGAGCGAACACGACGACAATAACAGTGAGGGGCGCACCTGAGCGAGCGTGTCGGCGATGAGCTCCTGCCGCCGGATCTCAAGAATCAGGTGCGGCACTGCCGTGCGCTGTATGCTGGCGGGGATGAACAGCGGCAGCGACTGCTCCTTCAGCATTCCGAGGAAGGACAGCTTCGCAATTGCGTCCTGGTACGCCACGAAAGAAAAGAAGAAGAAAAAGACAGCAGACTCAGCGAGAGAGACGGCACAAAGGCAAGAGAACTGGGAGCGTAGGGAGTGGCTTTACCTCGACTTCGTAGCTCATCTGCATGGCGGCGTCGATGTGCATGATACGGGCCTTGGTGGTGGGATCAAGCAGGAAGGGGTAGTCGCAGAAGAAGAACTCTGTCTTGGTGAGCTGAGCGTCCGTATTGTCGAGGAAGCTACGCGCCCTCCGCTTCTCCTTTCGCTTCCTGCGCCTCTTAGCCTCCTGGTCGGTCTCCTCAGCCTCCTCGCCTTCCGTCACCGCCGCGTCGCTTTCGTGATCGCTCGGCTGCTCGTCCCTTCTCCGCTCATTTCCTTCTTCACTTTCGCTTTCGTTTTCATTCTTCTCGCGCTCGTATTCGCTCTGATCCTCTCCCACCTTTTCCTTGCCCTTCTCCTCTCGCGCGGCCCTACGTTGATGGCTGGTGTTTGACAGCGCCTCCTCCTCAGCGAAGCTGCGCACGCGGGCCTTGCTGCCCCGCTCCTCGTTGCTCTGCACTTCGTCTACGTGCACCTCGACCCGTCGCCCATGCTCTTCGTCGGGCATGGCATGGTTGCGGAAGGCGTCGGTCGTCGCACGGGTCTCGGCCGGCGAGGAGTCGGACTGGGAGTCCTCGGACACCCAGGTAGCGTACTCGGGCGCTCGCTCGTCCACGGCCTCGTCGTCGGCCACCATTTCCTTCCTCCCCTCGGGCGTGCTGCCTTCGGCCGGCCTGCTGGGCGCGCTTTCGATGTCGTTGAAGAGGTCCTTCTTCCGCTCCTCCAGAACGTCAGCGTGTCTGGCCATGGTTCCGTGAGTGTGCCATTAGTTTGCGCATGCCATGCGTGTACGTGCGTGCGTGTGCGGTGGTGCGTGTGCGGTGGTGCGTGTGCGTGTCGTGCGGGAATTATTCGAACCTGAGCTGCATCCACTTGCGGTAATCGTCCTTGATGTTGACCTTCTCGCACACAGCGTCGTTGTAGAAGCTCGTGTACGACACTCGCCCTGTGCTTTGGTTGGCTTCATCTAGTGATGCCCGACAAGTGCAGGAAAAAAAGGGACGCGTTAGGCCTGGTGGCAGCGATGGTCAAGTGCTGCCGGTGCGTGCGTGCGTGGAGCTGACATACAGAGAAAGCGGAGTAGGGTGATGCCGTGGTGGAGCACGCTGTCGTGAACTCGCGTGTGCTGCTGGTGCATGTGCGCATTGATGAACGAATGCAGGATGTCGATCAACTCGGCGAACTTCTTCTCGGAGTACCTGTAGCCGGCGGTGAAAGTGGTAGAAAGAGTGGTCAGGAGAGAGTCAGGTGGTCTCGGAGCGCACCCCTTAAGGGACAGGCAGCGAGGAGCACGTACAGTGTGAACCACCGGGTGAGGGTGCGCTGCAGATGGGGAGGAAGTCCAACGATGGTCTGCGCGAGTTTTCGCAGAGGCGAAATTCCTCCGTACGATTCGCCGTGCAGCACCAGCGGGTTCTGATGCACGCAGACGTGGAGAGATGAGCGGCCCAGCTCAAACAGACCAAAGGACAAAGAAAGAGAGGGGGAGGGGGAACGGGAGGGGAGCAAGGCAATACGCACCTCGAGGAGGATCATGACCTGGCGCAGGTCCTTTGGGCAAGCGATGGATTGCTTCCTGAGCGCGAGCCGGGAGACCACCAGCTCGGTGGCGTTCTCGAGCGTGTGGAGGATGGGCGCACGCTCCTGTAGCGCGACACAATACAAAAACGTTTTGAGTACTTCTCGCTCGTGTCAACTAAACAATGTGTCGCCGGAGAGGAGGAGGCGCGAACCAGTGCAATGATGAGCCGATAGGCCTCGGCAGCCGCCTCCAGGTCGACGACGCTGATATCCTCGTCGTCAGTCAACTCCAACTTCTGTGGTGTGGAGGAAAGCAAGCGATGAGTGGCGTGCGGTACAGGCTACAGACATGAAGTGTGCCTCGTGTACCTTGAGGAAGCTGTTATTGAGCACATAGGAGTCGCTGAACCCGTCTCTGATGATCTCCTTGAGCTTACCGATGTCCCCTTCTTTGGCCGCCTCCACCAACTGCTTGATGAGCTCCAGGCTGAGGCTGGTCACCACGATCTCGTCCTCGTGCGCCCCTGCTGCACAGCGACCAACAGGTGGTCCAGTTAGTGCGTCGTAAGAACACGCCATGCGAAGGCCCGGGGAGAGGCGAGCCTTGGTTCTTTTTGGGGGACCACGAGTGAATGATGAAGGTGTTGCCCTCCTCGGGCGTCACGACATTGGAGAAGAGGGCCGAGAAGGGCGTGGACTTGGACACCACCGAGAAGAGGAACTGAGTGGGCTTGACCGGCGAGAGGGACGAGGAGAAGGCAAAGGGAGAGGTCATCGACGCGGGCGACGACGTGGAAGAGGTCGATGTGGTCGACGTTGCCGACGATGAAGAGAAGCGTGATGACAACGGCGGGGACGTGGTTGACGATGCGCCTTGCGCGGGTTTTGCTGGCGATGAAGGGGATGAGGGCGACGAAGGTGAGGCGGAGACGGCGGGCAGTTCCTTGGACGGCAGAGAGAAGGGCAGGCCGAGGTTGACATTCTTGAGCGCCGAGGGAGGAAACAGGCGCTTGGCGACCGATGGCTGGCCTTCCTCTTCGCCCACGCACAGGTAGCGACGCGGGCGCGCCGCCAGCTGCACGCTCCACACCTTGGCCTGCTCCGGCGTCAGTCGCACTCCGCCTGTGTGTGTGTGTGTGTGTTGTCGCGATCCAGTGAGAAGCAAAAGAACGAAGAGCGTCTCGGAAGGAAAGAACGAAATGAGTGGGAAAGGCGGTCAGCACCTTTGCAGGACACGCAGAACTTGTTGGTGCACTCGGGGTTGCCACAGCCTTGCGTGAGTTGCAGGAAGTACCTGGTGCGTGGCCCACGCACATGGATCGAGTGAGCAAGACCGCGGGACGCGCGAGAAAAAAATAGCTCACTGGAGTCCGTCACGTTGAAGGAGGGGAGAGGGAAAGAGGGCGAGGTGGGGCTCACCGGCGGGCAAGGGCCTCCATTTTGCTTTAGTGGCCTGCAGCTCCTGTTTTGCTGGTGAGTGAATGGTGAGTGCAGGCATGGCACTGCCTTGCTTCTCCTTCCCCTTTGCCTCGCTCGGCAACCCAGAAGGCGACGAGGACGCCCCATTCTCAAACATCACTTCCATCTTTCGTGCACTAGAGAAATTAAAAATAAAACGAAAACAAATAGCTCGAGGCAAGGAAATGATGTTTCTAAGAGGTTTCCTTGTGCAGAAGTTTCGAATGAAATAGTTTCAAATTCAAAAAAACTAAAGATGGGAGTCGCAACTGTTCGCGCCAAGAACACAGGTTGTCCAGTACTCACTTCCTGAAACAGCAGACCTAGCAACCGACGACCCAAACATGTGCACGCCATCGAAATTCTGTGGAAAGACAGCCACGAATGAAGAATCGTACCTCGGCATGTTTTTGATTTCCCATTCAGAGAGCCAATTCCGCGTGCTGTTGGGGGGATATGGTCCTTGTCGTGGGGGCACGCGGTGGCGTTTAGGCCACGAGAGGAAATACGGCAAGAGGAGAAGAAGGAAGTAAAAACACAACAAAAAGGGACCAGAACAGGAGTGGGCGGCGTCTGTTGGCGATAAAGAAGAGCAAGAACAAAAGGGAAGGAAGATCTATAGGGAGAGGAGAGATCGGTTGGAGTAGAGCGGCAAAAGCGCGAACAGGTTTCGGGACATCCCACCCGGTCTGCGGCGTACGACCGACGAACGACAGCTCGGGCCGACCACCTGCGACCCGCACCCGTTCATCGGGTTGATCGATTCTTATATTATTCGAGCTCCCGCAGGTCAGCTAGCTTGCGTGACCACTGTCACCACTACTGCTCCACCAACTCGACCTTTATCCCCGCAGCACCACATTCGCAACTACTTCTTATCCAACTCCATCTTCATCTTCGTCATCATCCAAACAGCAGGCTTCCATCGGCAGCGCCTTCTTCGATCTCGAGCTGGAAACGAGGGAGGAGTTTCGACTACCTTCCCCTTTCCATCTGCACCATCGCGATCGAGACATGTCTCTGCTCGGTCCTAGCTACCAGCAACAGCAGCAGCAGGACTATTACAACCAGCAGCAGCTGCAACAGGAGCAGGACTGGAGGAGCTCGTCGAGCCAACGCATCGCGACGCGCGTTAATTCGCGCCCCCCGCCTCCTCTCACCCTCTCGCGAGGCAACAGCGCCCCCGATCTGCCCACCCGAACGGCACCGAATGGCAAATTCATCAATCACCCAGGCCCTCTCCCGCCCATGGGCATACCGATGGGCAGCGGCTCTTCATCGTACGAGGGCAAATCGTTCCTAGAATCTTCGCTCGATTTCAACTACCTCAATGCCTCCCTCTCCAACATGAGCCTCTCGCAAGGCAACAGCCCCACCACCCTCACGCTCGACATGAACAATCACAAGCAGCCGCTCCACGACGCCCTGTCGATGTCCGGCCTGGGGGCTGACGGCCGAACGCCCATCGAGGACATCTTCTCTACATCTCCGACGACCAAGCGCATGGCGAACGCGCTGGCGCTTGCCGCCCAACAGCAGCAGCACCATCAACCCCAGCAGCATTCGGGCAGCTGGGGTCCCGGTCCCTCTGGCAAGAAGATCGGCAGCCCCCTCGGAGGGGGAGCAGGTAGCCCCGGCTCGGCCGCGGCTGCGGCAGCAGCGGCAGCCGCCGCCGCCGCTGCGAAGAGGTCGACGCTCGACATCGAGAAGGAGATTGGCGGCCAGAACCTCTACAAGACCGAGCTCTGCCGATCGTTCGTCGAGACAGGCGCCTGCCGATACGGCTCCAAGTGCCAGTTCGCCCACGGTCGGAAGGAGCTGAGGCCCGTCCTTCGGCATCCCAAGTACAAGACCGAGATCTGCAAGACCTTCCACACTATCGGTACCTGCCCCTACGGTACGCGGTGCCGCTTCATCCACAAGAGGCCCGGGGACTCCGACATCATCGACAACAGCGTCATCCTGCCCGTACCGCCGGGAGGCGGCCAGGGCACCAACGGCCTGAGCTCCTCGGCCTCGGTCGGACTGGGACCCGGCGGCGTCTCCAATCCCGAGTGGGCCATCTGGAAGGACAACCTCGATGGCGGCCTCGGCGGCGGCAGCAGCTCGCTCGCGGACAGCCTCGCGCCGCAGCAGCAGCACCTCCTCACGATGAACGGGCTCAATGGGATGAACGGCGGCATCAGCCTGATGAATGCCTTCCCGGGCAACGGCCTCTCGTCGTCGCACGACCGCATTCTGCTCGCCCAGCACGCCGTCAACGCGCTGCACGAGAGCATGCCCCACGGCGAGTTCGGTCAGCATCAGCGAAGCGCGATATCGGCCATCGACAGGAGGAGGTCGCACGAGGGCAAGAAGAAGGGCGGCAGCCAGGGAAGCGGCAGCGGTGGCAGTGGCAGCAGTGGCGGCAAGAACGACAAGAAGAAGTCCAAGTCTACTCGCTCGCGCACGAAGAGCTCTCCTTCCGGCAGGAAGAAGAATCATCGTCGTAGGAGGAGCACTGGTATGTATCCAGCCACTCATCCACCTTCGCCTCTTGCTCCATCGCTCTTCTTCTGTCACGCTCTCTCCCCACTTCGCCTTCCACAGCTCGTGTCTACCACAGACCCAAATTGAGCTCCCCAGTCCGATATTTCCACTCCTTTTCTACTGTTTCGCTTCACACCCCTCCGTTGCTCTATGCGACCTCACCTATTTCACGCCGGCTGTGCTGTGACGTCATAGGGGCCGACGACGAGGAGGACCTCGTGGGTGCGGAGGCCGTTGGGCGCGGGCACGAGAACGACTACGACGGAGACGTTGGCGGCGCATCGGTTGACGCCAGCCTCTCGCTCGAGATCCCGGCCATCGTCGACGCCGGCTCCGACACGGACGGTGACGACGACGGGGTTGACATGCCCCTGCCCGTCGCGGCCGCGTTACCCACGCCAGTCCCGGTCACGTCCCACCGCCACAGGCCGAGGACTCTCAGCGCCAAGGAGAGACTGCCCATCTTCCAAGTTTTGTGTACAGACGACGAGGAGACGATCGACGGAGCCGACTCGGCGACGCTCACTCAGAAGGTCATCTCCTCCTCGAGCTAAAGGAGGAGCAGCATCACCACCACTACCACCTCCTCCCTCTCCTCTACCACCTCAGCATCACCACTTCTCCTCTCTCCTCCCACCGATAACTAAATCAAAAACGGCTACCACCGACGACAGCGAAGACGGAGCGACGCAGCCTCACAACAAGCGAACCGGCTCAGCTCTTCTCCTCCTCGTCATCGTCTTCTTCGGCGCCTCTGTACCCTTAACACCACCTCTACCCCCTCCTCTCTCCTCCCAACACATTACGAGACCGTTTTGCTGTATTTATTTTTTTTCGATTCCTCGGGCCGCCCCCGCCCACCGACGACGACGACGTCTCTCTTCAGCACCATCTCCTCTCCACACCTTTCCTTCTCACTACTACGACCGTCGGCGGGACGCGAAGGCGCAAGCGAGCTGAGACGGAGACGGAGACCGACGAGCCGCTGTTGCCATCGACACGGTCGGGCGACAACGCACGGTTCAAGTTCCCTCGACGAACCAACGTCGATCTGTACAACTCAACTACGACGCTCGATGACCGGCCAGCGGAGAGACCACCACGGCGGCGGAGAGGATACGAAAGCGACCGAGCGGGAGGGAGAGCGAGAGGGTGAGATCTGCCCTCTCCTCTTCCTCTTCCTCCTTCTCCACCACTCCTCTCCTCCGCCACTTCTCTGCTCGCTTCAACTCGCCGCCAACCACTCCTTTATTTAATATTTATTTATAATTTAAGTTTGTTTAATTGCGGAGCGAACACATCGGCCACCGACGACCAGACGGCAGCACATCGGCACGACTGTCCCCGTCGGCACGCTCTTGTTTCGCTTCCATCACAACACACACACAACCCCCCATGTCACATCTTACACGTGTGAATCCTATTTATTTATTGCCAATAAATTATTTCTATTTATTTAAAATATTATCCGCTTTTCTCCCTCGTCTGGACGATCAAGGCGAGGCGATGAAGCTCAGGCCATCACGGCGTAGGTCACCGCAGCGGTGAGCGGGGCTGTCAGCAGCGCCGACACGAAGTTGACCTGCGCCAACGGCGTGCGCGTGTGCGGTGAGGCGTGCGGCGTAAGATCAACGAAGAAGAAATGGTGCGATGAAGGTACCTGGCCGTTGGTGAGGAGGTCGGCGCCGGTGAGATGCTTGACTGTGGGTCCGGGCTGGGAGACCACCTTTTGCTGTCGAGAGCAGAACCCCGAGTACTGCAGCGTCGCTCCGAGCAGCGAGTCCAGCTGGTGGTTCGGTTGGTGAGCGCCCGCTCGACGACGCCAACGAATGAAGCACGCAATGGCCCCCGAGGAGGTGGAGGAGCAAAGGCGCGGTACCAGCGAGCCGACGAAGCCAGCGAAGCCGCCGACGAGGATGACGGGCCACTGGGGGGCGGACGTGGGCTCAACGCAGAAGAGGGCGCTGGAGATGAAGAACACCAGGCCAAGGAACAGACCTCCGCCAAGCGAGGCCGCAGTGCCGAGTGGCGACAGCGCACCGTTCGTTCCCTTGGGTACCTGCAATCATGGAGTGTTGATGTAAGTGGCGATGAAAAAGCAACACACCAGCGCGTGCGTACCTGCTTGAAGGTGGTGATGAGGACAGGACTACCTTTGGCCAGCACACCGAGCTCGCTGGCCCAGGTGTCGCCATTGCAGCATGCGTAGTGCCTGTGTGGCGTGTTGGGGGTAGGGAGCCAGGCAGTATGAGCCTCGGGCGAACAAGAAGAAGAAGAATAGAGGTGAGGCCATACCCCAAGAAGGCGGCGAGGATAAGGCTGGGCACGGGCTGGGCACCGAAGTCAAGGAAGTAGCGATCGCCCACACCCACCGCTTGCAGCCACACGACACACAGCAGCGTGCCAAGCAGAGCGTTTGCCACCTGCAACCGCCACACACGCGGTGCAGTCTTACTATTATTCTTCAATTAAAAATCAAGTCGATGGAGGCCAAGGTACCACTTGCAGCCAGTCGCGTTGTCCGCCCTCCTTGAAGTCGGCTTCGATCTTTCGCTTCTTGTGGGGGCTGAGCTTGGTGAGGAAGGATGAAGAGATGAAGAAGAGAATGAGCACCGCCGCGAATCGGTAGCCGGCGAGGCACGTCAGTAGGCCCACCACGAATGCCGCCAACCCGCCCGAGGCATCCAGTGATCGTTTTCGGTAGCCCGCGTATGAAAACGCCACACTGAACGCCACCGACACCATCGCATGCCCCAACCACTCCATGCTTGTTGCGTCCGTTCAGAATAAAATAAATAGATATGAAAAATACAAATCAAACCTTGGGGCAAATAAAGGAGGTTTGAAGATGATGGAAGAAGATTTAGTCTAAAGGAAACTGAAGAAATTATCCTACACCTTCTATCCGTCGGCAGGGGCATCATCAGTGGTGCTCATCTTCTCCCTCGTGGGTAATCTCGTAGGGGCGGTGAGACGTCTGAACGGGGGGGGGGCAGAATTGAGTCAATAGCGCGGAAGAGTGACAGGGATGAGGGCAGGGACATACGAAGAGGTGGCGCCAGTCGTGCTTCAATCTCCAGAAGACCCAGAACCACATCGTGGTGCCGATGAAGAGGGCAGCGTTCTTGTGCACGCGGTTCACCGGAGGCGGGTGGAAGCCACCATAAGGCAGCTTGACGTCGAGGCCCTTGTAGGGTGCGTGGTGATCACCTCCCATGTTCTCTTTTCAATTGATTTCGCCAACAATCAGTTCGGCAGAGTTTCGTCAACTGTTTCCGAAACAGCTTTGCTTGCTCACTAAACAAATTATAAATAAAACCAAAACGCGCAAATCAAGAGCCTCGAATGGAAGCTGTGGTGCCAAGTGAGGCCTCGGCGGCTGATACGCTGCTTGATAAGCTGCAGTGGCGATGGGTGCTGCTTGGCGGTGCAGTCGCCTTTTTTGGGGCGGCAGTCGCGCGCAAGAAGCTGCGACAGCGCCAGAAGAAGCAGCGCACCAATCAGACGGTGCATCGTGGCATCATATGCGGCGACTGTGGCGACATCATCCGGGGCATTCGCTACATGTGCGCCAATTGTACTGCCACCCTCGAATTTCTGCAGATTTATTTTATCCCTTTAATTTGGCGCTTTAGTGCGCGAGTATGCTCGCATGCTCATTGGTACGGTCGTTTCTCTACGTGGAAGGTGCCGACTTTGATTTGTGCGAGACATGCGAGGCGAAGGAGAGCCACTACAAGACGCACGTCTTTTTGAAGATCAGGATCCCCATACCGGCCCTGGCCATCCCGCCAGGCGCTCTTCTGCCCGTCCTCTATCCGGGCGGGGCCATTGGCGAGATCTCGCACGCCGAAGTGAAGGAGCTCAAGCGAAAGACTCACTGTACGATGAAACCTCAATCGCCTCTGTTTGCCTATCACCTCAGTACTGATCTCCCTTGGGTGACACAGTTGACGAAGTGGAGCTGGAGGCGCTGTTCGAGCAGTTCAAGGCTCTGGCCACCTCCAAGAACGGAATCGACAAGGACACCTTCGAGCGATGTCTGGGTCCTTTGGGCGTGGAGACCAATCTCATCACCGATCGGATATTCAAGTTCTTTGATCAAGGTGCAGCTTGACTCGTCTTCCTTTCATGCGTGCGCTGACCAACGCGACGCTCATTATGCGCTCGCACTCGACAGATGGAAATGGAACGATCGACTTCTCGGAGCTGGTGTGTGGCTTGTCGGTGCTGTGCAAGGGAACACCAGAAGAGAAGATCAAATGTATGAACGCTCCCTTGATCGCATCCCCTCTTATTCGGCGAGTCCTCCCTTACTGACCCTACGCTTGGCCACAGATGCCTTCAAGGGATACGACTTGGATGGCGACGGCTGTACGCGCTTCGTCTCCTATTTCATTGCATTCTCTCCAGCCATCGGTCTGCTAAGCACGATCCGCTCTTCCCTCCACCAGACATTGACAAGGAGGAGCTGTACAAAATGTTCAAGGCCTACTTCTACCTGTCCATGGAGGCCGTGCGAGAAGCCGTCAAGGTCATCGAAGAGGAGCTCATCCTCAACTACAACGACAACAACACGAACCCCGTGTCGTCGGCCTTTGTCGGCCTGCCTGACGCGGAAACACAAGAGGGTAAGGGACGCACTCGCGCGGTGTGATTGACGATATATAGACCGCACTTGTGCTGACACTCCGCTCTCCGGCGTATAGACTCGATCACAAAGCAGCCCGAGGATGCGCCGCTGAACAACGAGGATCTATCGCCCATCATGGACTCCATGTACCAGGTCGCCATCGAGGAGATGGTGGAGAAGGCCTTCTCCGCCGCTGATGTAAATAACGACGGCAAGATCACCTACGAGGAATTCAGGTATCTGCGATCCACCCACACCCACAGCGAGCTCGCATTACTCACTCCCGTGGATGGGGAATGCAGGGCTTGGGCGCTGCAGGACCCTACCATGATCTCTTGGCTGGAGGCCCTCGGGTCCGTCTTCTAGAGTAACCGAACTCGAGGTAAGAGGCCAATATTTAATGTGGTGACTGATGCACAGAACAACAATGAATACACCAATTCACTCTACATCTCCTATATACTTCATATACTTGGACATTTCACACTTTTGCCTCCTCAATATTTCCTCTCCATTGAATTCAGCTCCCTGTAGCGTCTCTATTTTCCACGAATTTACACCTCACCTGTTGCATGTGCAACAAACCAGAGGGGAACACGGACAGATTTCATGCCGTGCAACGATGGCCCTTCAATCACTTTACACCCCCGCCCCTCGTCGCTGATCGGGGGGTTGAGATCGTGGCAATCGCGAGCTCGGTCTAGTTTGATTACAGCCCGCCGGAGAAGCCGGTCAAATCTGACCGCGCATCACTGGGCACGCACCACACCACATGCGCGAAGGGGCACTCTCTCGGTGGCGGCGCTGGGCGAATTCCCAGGCAGTTGACGGTGGTGCCTTTCAAATTGAAGTCGCTCGGCACTTGCCAGCCCACCTACAAAAGGCATCCGTGCACTGGCCAAGTCATTAACTCAACGCAGCGCAACACCAGCACGAACACGCTCTTGCAATCTCCATTCATTCCTACAACCACCACCACAACTAATATGAACGACCACCACCGCAAGCCCCGTCAGTTTCCGACCAGTGTCGGGCTGCTGACTTTCGTGCTGCTGATCTTGCTCGCACACGCCTCCCCGACGCGAGCCGGCAGCGACGGCGAGGACCAAGGCTGGTGGCACAACTCGAAGAGCCCCAAGTCCTCCCCGTCCTCTTCCCCGTCGTGCATGACCAAGCAATCCGAGTCGCCCTCTCCGCCGATGTCGACGTGCCCGCCTAAGAAGTCCGAATCGCCCTCCCCGGTACCGTCTGAGTCGGCATCTCCATCGCCCTCAGAATCGGCCTCGCCTGTGCCGTCGCCGTCCGAGTCGGCATCTCCATCGCCCTCGGCGTCGGCCTCACCGATGCCCTCCGAGTCGGCCTCTCCCTCAGCGTCGCCCTCTCCCCCGGAGTCAGCTTCGCCTTCGCCTTCGCCTTCGGCCTCGGCTCCGGCGTCGCCTTCCGCCTCACCGTCAGCGTCTTCCCCGGCCAAGCCCTCGCACTCGCCCACGCCCACGATGATGTGCCCGCCCAAGCCCTCGCGGTCGCCCTCGCCGAAGCTCACCACCAAGTGCCCGCCCAAGCACTGCACCTGCGAGTGTGCCTGCCCTTCGGCCTCGCCCTCGAGCTCGCCCAAGAAGTGTGGATGCCCGTCTTCCGCTCCCGAGGCTTCGCCGTCGCCTTCGACCTCGTCGTGCCCGCCGAACAACGCTCGTCTCGGCCAGGCCGCCGACTTCAGCGCCTTCGTACTGGGCAACTCGTCGGCTGTCGGTCCCTCGCTCGACATGGTCAACGGCGACTTCGAATCGGCGGCGGCCGTGCGCGGCGGACTGCGCCTGCGAAGCTTCGGCGTCAACCAGGCGGTCTCCGGATCCGCATGCACCGACGGAGAGAGCCAGCGCTTCACGCTGATCGCGGAGGGCGGCACCATTGACTACTCCAACGGGCAGCTCTTCTGCGGCAACCTGTTGGCTTCGGCCGACGCCGAGATTCTCAGCGCCCCGTCGTTTGGCGGCGGCAGCGTCAAGGTGGGCGACGTGACCGAGCTGAGCGGGATCGACTTCGAGGAGGCCGGCCGGGAGCTGCTCGACGAAAGCGAGACCCTCTGCAGCGCTGTTGAGGACGGCGAAGCCACCGATGCCGAGGTCGATTCTTCGGGCGGCATCACCCTCACCGCCACAGGCGCAACTGTCGAGGTTCGTCTTCTTCCGCACCAACGCATCAACCAACGCACCAACGCGCAGTGTTTTGCTAACAGTTGGCGTTTCTTCAACAAACAGATGTTCAGTGTGAGGGCCAGAGATCTGTCAGCGGCCACCGGCGTCCGGTTTGTGGGATTCGAGGGCCAGAGCATCAACGAGGTAATCATCAACGTGATGCGCGAGGCCGACGATAGCGAAGCGTCGCTGGTGCTCTCCAACTTCGCCGTGGACCTGGGCTCGGTGCCGGTCCGCTCCGTGCTCTGGAACATCTGCGGCGGCACCGACCTGGTGGTCATCCAAGCCGTCGGCCTGCCTGGTATGCGCATTCCTCCTTCCTTTTCCGCCAGAAGGCAGAACGGCTCACCTTCGTGCTCTATCGTCCCACCATGGCAGGCGCACTCTTGGCTGCGGGCGCGGATGTGACTCTGCAGAACGGGCAGGTGACGGGCCAGGTCGTGGCGAGGACGATGCGCGGCTCCGGCGGCGGTCAGATCATCAATCCTGCGTGCTAAGCCTGCCTTTGCGCATTGCCTGCCGCCCCCAGCAGCTTCGCCGCCATTGCGGCAACCACTCACCACCCATACTATTTTGTCTCTTATATTCGATTATCGTTTTCATTTTCGTGATGCCTCAACAAGCACCTTCAACAATACATTCACTTGTTACATCACGTGCTCGCCACACCCCACGAGCAAGAGAAAAAGAAGAGGCAAGGAAAGAAACTCGAGTTTTTATGTTTCAGTTTGCGGACTGAGTGCGCAAGATGGGAGTCCGTGGTCTGTCGGCCTTTATGCGGCAGTATGGTGGCCGCGCCTCCGCAAGCCCTACCGACATACGACTGCTTGCACTGGCCGCAATCAAACGTACATCGCAACCTGCTTTGGATTTAGAAGAATTAATTAAATAAATCAAATAATAATACGCTTCATCGCAGGAAGCGGGCAGGCGCGTAGCACTGTGTGTGTCGACGGCAATAGCCTGCTGTATTACCTCTACGAGGATGCTGGCCTCAACTGGCTGCTCGGTGGGCAGTACGCAGAGTACGTCGGACTTCCTCGCGTTGTGGTTGTGGCCTTCTCTACAGTGTCCCTGATGACCAAACGGGTCTCTGGTCTCTGCCTCGACGTAGGTTCGAGCAGAAGGTCGAGGAGTGGCTGGACGCCTTCGAGTCGTGCGGTATTGGGTTGGTGTTCTTCTTCGACGGCCTGGTGGACCCGCTCAAACGTGCCACGTCCCTTGAGCGACGGTCGCGCGATGCCAAGTACGCCACGTCCGTCCTGCACTCCCTCCAGGAGCGTGCCAACACCGATGGTCCCCCGAGAGTGCTCTTGCCCATCCTCGCCGCTGTATGCATCCCGTCCCACGCGTCGTGTAGTTGTGTCGTGTCGTGTCGTGTCTTTGGTCGTGTCGTGTCGTGTAGTTGTGATTGCTTAGATGCCCTATGGTACAACTTTTCGTTCGGAAAAGGCAGCGTTCGTAGGCACTCTGCAGAGGCGTGGAGTCGAGATGCGGTTCTCCAATTTTGAAGCCGACCGAGACATCGCCTGCTACTGCACGACCCACCCCGAATGCATCGGTACTGCTCATCGTTACCACTGCGCGCTCGCTGTGTGGCCTGACCTTGGTGCTGCCCTGCCCAGGCGCCGTATCGCAAGACTCCGACTTTCTCATATTCGATATGGGGGAGGCGTGCTACGTGCCGCTCGACTCGCTTCAGATCAAGCAGGCAAGCAAGCCCGGCAAGTGGACCATCACCTGCCAAACGTTTCGCGTCGATCTCACTGCTAGCATGTTCAACTTCGACAAGAAGGTACCTTCATCGCCCTGCTCTCACCAGTCTTGGGCACTCATCTGACTCCACCCCTTCGGCAGTGGATGCCGATCTTTGCCAGCCTTGTAGGTAGGTTCACCGTTCGGCCTGGCTTTCGGTGTTCGTTCACAGTAACATATATGTCGTTATTCAGGGAATGATTACACGCGAGAGGATACGAGACTAATCAAGCTCTACCGACAAATGAACATCATCGCGGGCGACAACGTGGGTCAGATCATCAGGAAAATAGCCAAATTCTTGTCTCGATTTCGAGCCGGTTGGTACACCTCCCTTTTGATGGCTCAATGTGCTCCATGCTCACTCGGTCGTCTGTCGTATTTGTATTGGCGCTCATGCAGAAGAGAAGGAGCTCGATGTCTACATGTACCTCATGAAGTACATACGAAAGGAGGATCGGAACCATCTTCACCAGGTGCTCAAACGTTCTGTGAACGTCTACACCATTACCTCTGGTAAGTACATTCCCTTAACGCACCACCCCAAAGGCAACAACTTGTTTCTCATACAATCCCCCCATTGGCCCGCGGCACCAGAAGCGCCACCCACCGATGTGCAAGTCGGTCATGGAGGGCTAGCCTTCAAGCACGACAGCGGAATGAACGAGGCGCTGGCTCTCGAGTTCAGACAAGGCCGACTCGCCACCCAGCACATGTCCGTTTTGGCCGACGGGGAGGTACGCCCACTCGCGCGCGTGGTTTGATCTTTACCGCTACATTTGGAGTCTGACGCTGATCGCTACGCTCAGTACTGGGCAGGCGTGTCGGTGGTGGATCCCACGCTCTTTGATCCCGGTGAAATCTATCTGCAGCTGCGCGCCACAATGTACCGCGCGCTTCTGGGCCATCAGCTAGAGCAGTCGAAGGCCTCGAAGAAGCTTCAGCCGGGGGAGCAAGAGAGCGGCCAGCCGCAGTCTGCGGGTGCTAGCGCTGGCAGCGGCAAGGCCCAGCAGCAGAAGAAGCAGCCAACCAAGGGAGGTGGGCCTACCCTGTGCGTGAGCGAGCTGATGCAAACTCAGCGCAGCTACCGGAAGCGAAGCACTGTCACGCTCAAACCGGGTGACGCCGGGGGCCAGAGTGCGCACTCTCCCTCCCTCGGCATGCCCGCCTTTGATGCAACGTGCAAGCACGCGTGGCCACCGTGGCTGACATGGGATTCTTTTGGGCCACCGTGCAGTGCCACCAATCGCAGACCTTCGCTCGATGGCAGAGTCCGACCGGCTGCACATCTTTCTCTCCAGCATGCGGGCGGACGACTTATTAGCCGCCGACCTCCCCACCGGGCTGCTACTGCCTTGCGCAGTTCTGCGCTACCTCCTCGTGGAGCAAAACGACAGCGCCACCCTAGTGCGTACCCACTCAACCGCGTTCTCACCCGCGCCCCATGGGACTCATACGCCGAGCAGGACGGCGGTGGCGAACGACTCGGGCGGGCGGAGCCTCTGCTGTATGAGTGGGAGCTCAACACCTATCTGCTCCACCTGGTGCGACTACAGCGCAAGCAGCCCGCAGCAGTCAAGGTACCCCAACTTGAGCGCCGCTCGCTCAGGGCTCACGGAAACCTAAAATCCTTCGGGGGAAGGCTGCGGCGTGGGACTGGAAGATGCAGGGCGCCGACCGGAAGCGGTTCGTGTGCCTGGTCGGTCTGCTTCAGACGGGGCTGCTGCACGCGCTGCTTCTGCACCAGCTGTGCGGCCACCCGCTCGGCCTCCAGCTGCCTCCGCCGTCGCACTACTACGACGGGTTCGCGTTCCTACGGGAGTACTGCCACCGGTGGGACGCGCGACGAGCCGAGCGACGACTCCGAGGCGGCGCTCCATCGACGCCTCGCCAACCACGCGACGAAGAACAAGAACGAGAACGAGAACGAACTGAAGAGGCCAACAAACAAGATGACGATGACGCACGAGAAGAGTTGAAGTTGAAGGAGCAAGTGGTGGAGAAGGAGGAGAACGATGATAAAGAAAGCGATAGCACGGTCCTGAAGGCGAGGGAAGCGATCGTGGCCGGACTACGACCCCACCCCGACAGCGCAAAGCAGAACGAGCGGGCGGGTCCGTCCCTCTTCAAGCCGGAGACGACCAAGCAGACCAACAAGAAGCGCCGACGAAAAGAGAACAACGGCGGCAGCGGTGCGAGAGAGAAGGAGAAGGAGAAGGAACGACGAGATCAAGACCACGGCGAGGAGGAAGGGAGCGATGACCAGGACGCCGACAGACTCGCCACGCACAACTCGTTCGCCCTCCTTGGCTGACCCATTCGTCACCGGCTCAAGAAGGAGTAAGGGTCATCGCACGACTTTTCGACTCATTTTCTGGTCTTTTTCAGATCCACAAAAGCCAAGACATTTATTGTTAATACCATTTATGTAATCATCAACTCAGCATCGGCACCCTCACGGCACACGGATGGATTTGGACCAGTGCTTGCGGCTGCTGCGTGCGAACAGCGATGAGGAGAAATTCGTGGGGCTCTACCTCATCACCAAATTCATCAAAGCCGAACCCGGCCAACGATGCGCTTGATCTGGGAGTCAATCGGTCCTTCCTTCCTTCACAGAATGCTCAAGACCGAGGGCAGTACGTACTCCACACTTGCCTCGCTCCATTCAGCAGAAATTGTCTTTTGATTCTGGCAGATGAAGATTTAATCTCATCCCCATCCGTTTGGATTGCAGAGGTGGGTGGAACGGAGGGCTTCTCGTATCGCGGCCTGGCCCTGAGCCTCCTGGCCGCCTTTTCGGTGGATGAAACACTCGCGAGCGACCCGCACTTCATCGCCACCGTGCCATCACTCATCTCTCTCGTGCATCCTCGGTACGCCCTCATCATTGCACACCTGTCGTGTCATGTTGTGTGCTCACCATCTTCATCATCATCGTCTACTCGTCAAAACCAGATCGCGCAGTGAGCAGGAGGTAGTGCGAGACGCGCTACAATGCCTGATCGCTGTCTCCAACACGCCCGACGGAGCCAAGAAGGCGATCGACAGCGATGGCCTCGCCGCCGTTCTGCTGGGCGTCACCGAAGACGAGCCGCCAGAGCTGCTCAAAGCCCGGCTCCACCTCTCCGACAAGTTGGTCCGGTTCATGAGCGCTGCCCACGAAGCCTCGGGCCTCCCCGAGGCGTCCGCCACCGCGATGCTCGAGCACCTCGCCACGCTCTTCCGCCGCAACCAGCGCGCACTCAAGTTCATCGTGTTGGAGCGGCTGCCGGCACTCTTGGCGCTGAGCTTCGACGACCAGCGGCAGAGCGATGTGCGCGCGCGGAACGAGGTGGCGCAGCAGCACGGCGGGTGGATCGAGGACATCCGCGTGGGCCTCTTCTACGTGCTGGCGAGCAAGATCGGCCGCTTGCAGAAGGAGCACGCGCTCACCCTGTGCGCCTACATGCTGCGCTACTTTGGCGAGTCCTGGGCGGTGGGTGCCGTGCCTCCCATCGACATCGGTACAGTCTGCAGTCGTGCCAGTTTTTCTCCGACTACGGCTGCTAACCACACACACACCACCACCATCACCACCACCACCAGGTGCCACAGGGAAGACGACTGGCGGCGAACAGAATGAAGGGCGATTCGTGGAGGTGATGATGTTGCAGACGGGCGTCGAGGTCCGGCTCCTGTTGGACTCGTACATGCACCCCGAGATTATGACCCGCGACGCGGCCCTTGAGGCCCAGCAGGAGGTCAAGGCCAAGGCCAGTGCCCAGGGCACGGCCAAGGCCAAGGCCTCCACCTGGGAGCAGGAGGGCAAGAAGGGCGGTGGCCCGTCGGCCACGCCGCTTCCGCGCGAGGCCATGCGCTACGCCCCGGGAGGCCTTCCGCTACCGGCCTCCTCCGAATCGGTCAGCTACGTCACCGACGAGCTCTCATCCGATGAGGAAGACGAAAACGAGACTGACCAGATGACTGCCGACCACACTTCTTCATCGTCGTCTTCGTCGTCTTCGACGACATCAGCAACCCCTGCTCCTGCTCCAGCGGGTCCTGTCGATCCGCTCGTGGAACTCCTGGCCTCGCCCTCCGATGACGTGCAATCCCGATTCGAGGGCCTGCTGTCGATCTACTACGAGATCCTGGAGCACGCCATCACCTTCCTCGCGTCGCCCGACGACAGCGAAATGGACAAAGACGACGACGAGGGAAGAAGCGCGACCAGGAAGAAGGCGGCCAAGGCCAAGGCGGAAGCGCGCTCGTGGGCTTCGCTCAACTACGAGGCGCTGGGCAACATCAAGAAAATGCTCTCCGACGTGTTCGAGACGGTCCTCGACTTCGTGAAGGACGTTCAGCAGGAGCGAGAGCAGGCGCAGAAGAAGGTTGCGAAGGCGACCGTCGGGGCCGACGCGAAGGGCAAGACCAAGGAGACCGCTCAGCAGCAGCAGCACCCGAAGAGCGAAGAAGCGGGCACCGTGCGGCTGACGCTCGAGGACCTGGAGAACATGGACCTCGCTGCCACTGCCCCGGTGCACGGCGAAGAGGCGGACAAGATGGATGTGGTCCGCGAAGGCGCGTCGAGCAAGCCCGGCGGAGACCAGGTGCAAGCGACGGACCTGGTGGTGGTGGCCACCATGCGCCTGCTGGGGCTCTGGATCAGCCACGACACCGAGACGCTTAAGGACAGCCTGATGCGGGTTCTCCCCTTCCTCGTCAACCTCAAGACCGACAGGGCGCGAGTGGGTGTAGACCCGTTCTCCTTCCTCCTGCCCGGACTGGTGCCGCTCACGCAGGAAGACGACGCCCGAGACAAGTTCATCGATGCCGACGGCCACATCAGGTAACGTAACTGAGCTGCACCAGGTGTCGCACCCGCAACGGCGCGCGCGCGCGCGCACACACACACACACACACACACACTATTCCCCTCGCGTGCTGATTGCGTGGGTGCAGGCTTCTGGCGTTTATGGGCGAGGAGGTCGCGACCCAGAGGAGCAACCAGAGCGCGCACAAGGTGGAGAACTACGGTCCCCTGGTCTCGTGCCTGGGCACGCTTCTCAACCTGGTCTGCCTCGAGGAGGGCCTCCTGAACCACCGGTGAGCACCACCTCATCTCGCTCGGCCCACTGCATCGATTTAGCTCACCGTTCACGTGCGTGTGTTCAGCGACCCGGCGACGTTTGTGTGCTACCTGCCGGTCCTGTCGGATATCGCGCAGCTGGTGGACATCACCGCACCGCCGGCCGACACACACGACACGGAGAAGGCGCTGGTGCTGGCCCACGCGCTGGTCGCGGCCTTCTTCATCCTCAAGTTCCACACGCCCGGTTCGTTGGCGCACCACTGGGCCGAGCTCGGGCCGGAGCTGCGAAAGCGGGGCGTGCCAACGACGACGAGCGAGACGTGGGGCGTGTCGCGACTCCTCGATCTTCTGGTGGACGACTACTTCAAGCTCTTCGTGCTGTGCCACCGCGACGAGTCTCTCTGGAACGAGATTTCTGAACTGTGGTTCATGGCAACCGAAGGTACTGCCCACACTGTTATTAATGATGACGACGACGTTATGCGCGTAGCGCTGATTGACTGACCGTCGTGTGTTCGGTGTTCAGCGCTGCGGTCCGGCCTGAAGACACACCCGGAACTGGGGGCCAAGGCGAAAGCGAGCCAGTGGCTGCCCAAGGCGATGGCCAGCGCGACCAAGGGCGGACACGCACATGCCGCCCTGCGAAGCGTCATCGAGCCCGTCTAGAGCAAGCAATGTAGAAACCATCACCCCCTCCACACACCAGAAATGCAATTAATTGTTGGTTACAATCTGTCAATGACATGCGCGCAGACGTTTGCACAGATTGGCTGACGAAAAGCTGCCGACCAACCGAAGGCAGGCGGTCGGCTGGGCAGGCGAGTGGCAAACCACTGCGAGTGCGAACTGGCCAGTGGACACTCCAGAGACTCAACGCACTCACCATCAACAGAACACCAGCACCAGCATGAGCGGCTACGAGAACGTGCTAGCCACGGTGACCCCCGCCCTCACCCTGCAGCTCAAGTACGGCTCCAAAGGCGTCACCGAGGGACAAGAGCTAAAGCCAAGCGAGGTCCAGCATCAGCCCACCGTCGACTGGGACGCGGACGAGAATGCGCTGTACACTCTGGGTACCTACGCATACGGCTCTCCTGCGTTGCTCTCTGATGCCCTATTCTCACTTTTGTGCAGCGATGGTCGACCCTGACGCTCCCTCGAGAGACGACCCTAAGGACCGGGAGGTGTACGTGGACACGAACGTGGACGTGGTGGTGGTGATCGTGGGTCTCACTCTGTGGTTGAGTACAGGCGCCATTGGCTGGTGGCGAACATTCCCGGCAGCCGCATCAAAGAAGGTGACCTCCTCACACCCTACCAAGGGGCTGCCCCTCCGCCTGGATCAGGTACACTCCACCACAAAGAGCTTCTATGATGTTAGCAAATGTTCGGCCGTTGACATGTGCTGGCCTTTGTTGCAGGCGAACACCGTTACGTGCTGGTCTTGTTCAAGCAGCCCGATCGCATCGTCCCCGAGAAGATGAGCAAGTACGTCCTACTCGTGTGATGTGCCCACGCAAGAGCAGAGTGTCTCACTCTTCTGCCCGCTCACTACAGCGACACGGCGGGAAGGAAGAGCTTCAAGATTGAGGCCTGGGCCAAGAAGAACTATATGCTACCCGCGCTGGCCGCCACGCACTTCAGAGCACAGCCCGAGGAGGGCCAACAAACCTCCTCTGCTGGAAAATAAAACAAAGAGGGCAATAAATCAAAAAAACTGATCCACAACAAGGCAGCCGATTAACCTTGGGCGTGTAGTACGTAGCTTCGTGGTGTCCATTTCGTCGTGCTCACTCTGCGTACTACCAAACTTGTGCAGATATAATTTTTTACAAAACATCTCTGAGATGGCGACCACCTTGCTCCCTGGGTGGTTGGATTCTACGATCCGCATCGTGCGAGGGGTGTGGATCCTGCTCGTACTCTTCCTGTCCCTCTTTGTGGGATCCAGCTCGTTCCACAGCCCCCTTCTTCTCCTCCTCTGGTCCTTCTCCTCCCGCTTCTGGCGCACCCTCAACTCCACCTTCATCGAGATGTGGTACGCTGTTGACTCCCTTTCCGCCATTCAATTACTTCAATTTGATTTCTTATTGACTATTGCCATCTCGATTAGGCATACCCTATTCATCTTCTACCTCGAGGTGTGGAATAGCAAGCGGTGGCTCGTGTCTGGCGACGACGTGCCGCCCAAGGAGAGGGCGTTCATCATCTCCAACCACCCGTCCGAGGTACGTGTGCCATCACGGGCACGGCACGACACGCACGCGACATGCGTGTCATGACGCTCACGTAACGCGCACTCCCGTCATCATCACCGTCACCCAGGTTGATTGGATGTGCTGGTGGCCCATCGCCTGGCGCAAGGGAATGGTCGGCGACCTGAAGGTGATCCTCAAAAAGGTGCCAATGCACCCTGGCCTCTCGGTTGTGAGTGTGCGTGCGGTCACACTTTGCGCCTCGGCGGTTTGAGCTGACGTATGGACGAACGAGCAGGAAATCGCATATTTGCCTGCGCTGGGCAACGGCATGGACGACCTGGAGTTCCTCTTCCTCGAGAGGGACTGGGAGAAGGACAAGAACACAGTCGCCCACAGGTGCATTTTCACTTTCTCACACTGAACACGCTCGCAACGTACAGAACACACAACACACGCAACACCACTACACACACGTAACTCACATTCGACTCGATAGGATTGAGTCGTGGAACCGCGATGAGACACCGCTGTGGCTCACCTTCTTCCCCGAGGGCACGGACTTCAATCGCATCAAGCACGAAAAGAGCATCAAGGTCCGATGTAGTGCCACCTCTCAGAGCGGGATTACGCGAATGTCCAAAGACTTTGCGCTAACGCACCGTGCGTGTGACATGCATGTGCTGTCCGCCTTCTCCGCTCGCGCAGTATGCCGCTGAGCACAACCTCCCGTCCTACCGGAACCTGCTGGTTCCGCGCATCACCGGCTTCGTGTCCTGCGTCAAGATGCTCGGGACCCACATCGACGCCATCTACGACTTCACCCTGTGCTACACCGGCAGGTTCGTAGCGCACCCACCGCATGCGCACCCACCGTACTTGCTGACGTGTGCGATGCGTTCCTGTGTGCGCACACAGCCCGAAACCGAACCCGTTGCGAGCACTGATGGACCTGGCACCCAAGGAGGTGCACCTGCACATCCGGCGGTACCCGATCTCGACGATCCCCTTGAACGACGACGAGAAGCTCAAGGACTGGATCTTCCAGTGCTGGAAGGAGAAGGACGAACTCCTCGACCACTTCAAGCAGCACCAGCGCTTCCCCGATTCCAAACAGGTAACCACACTGCAACGCACACGCACACGCACGACACTCGCCCTAATTCACTGAATCTGGATGGGTCGCAGGGTGGTGGCGCGGTGGAGTTGAAGCCGTCGCGACTGCTCTACGCGTGGTTCCTGTGGTGGCTGAGTCTGATCTCGCTCGCTCTCTATCGGTGCGTGGCGTCGCCCGGCTTCCTGCTCCTCGTCGTGGCCGCCACCGCCGTGCGGGTGGCCACCACCTACCACACCAAGACACGACAGTGGCGCGGCCTCCTCCCTCCGGACGACTACGCCGCGGGCAAGAAGCAGGAGTAAGCTCCGGTGTTTTTTGTCGACCAAGGACTTGCGTTTTGGCGCCAAAACACAAAAAGTTGTAAAACTCAATTCTGAAAGTGTTGTAATTGAATTAATCAACGACATGATGCGGCGGAGCGACAAGGACCGGGCCTGGCGCCAGTGAAGAAGAAGCTGAGCTTGAGCTTGTCGAAGAAGAGCAATCATACGATGCAGGTGACGCAAGATTTTGAGAGTTCGATTTTGGAGATGGACAAGGAGAACAGTTTCGATCTGCACAACAGAGCAACCTCCGTGAGGCCGTCGGTTGGGGCCAAGCGCGAGGCCGGAGTACTGCAGGATATAAGCAACGAAGAGGATCAGTGCACGCAGTGCACCTGCGGCCGATCGGTGAAGAGGAGCACCTTCCAGCACTCCAAGATCTGCAACCTCTTCAACCAGCAACACATTAAGAAGCCACTTGCCAGATGCGTCTCCAGGTACTCTCATTCTCTTGTTCCTTCTCATGCTCATCATCAGACTTGAACATTTCGGTTGTGTCTTGTGACGAAAGGACTCCGCCGTTTGCTGCCGCCAAGAGCAACCTGAAGGCGCTACAGAGAGCAGCACACCCGCCTCCGTCGCCCTCTCTTTCGCTCAACTGGACCCCCGACACCTCGTTCGCCCAGTCTCCACTCCGCCACAACGCAGAAGAACAAGACGATCACGACACGGTGACCGAGTCCATGGTTCAATTCTCCCGTCTTCGGTGCTTGTGTTGGCTGGAGTTCTCACACATCACCTGCACCACCTTCAGTCGCAGTACGACGAGGACAGGATTGAAAGCGAAGAAGAAGAAGAAGAAGAGGAACCAGATGATGGTGATGGCGAGGCCAACTTCACGCCGGACGCTGTCCGAGTGAGCGGCAGGAGCGGCGAGAAGGCCGCGCGCAAGAGTCTGCGCTGTGCCTCGCCCATGGTGATCCTGTCCTACCGCTCCGACAGCGAAGACGAAGAAGCCGAAAGCGAAGCCGAACCCGAACTCGAAAGCGAATTCGAAAGCGAAGCCGAAGCCGAACCTGAACCTGAAAGCGAATTCAACGCGCGCGGCAACACTGGTAAGGCTGTGGAAGAAGAGGAAGAGGAGTTGTTCTTGTCACAGACATCATCAGAGATCGACGAATCGGCCGAAGCAGGCGAGGATGAGCAGGCAGAGGTTTCCATCATCTTCGAAGACGATGGTCATCCGCTGGAGATCGCGATAGCCGAAGAGGAAGCTGCGAGGGAAGACGAGGCGTTTGTCGTGCAGCGGCTGCCCGCTGACGCCGAAGCCGAAGCTGAGAAACAAGAGGGAACGGACGAGACCGCGCCTGGGACACATCAACAACGCCAAATCGGGGAAGAGGAAGAGGAAGAGGAAGACCGAGTAGTAGCCGATGCGGCCGACGACAACGCGGATGCTCTCCTGGTGCTGCTGCGGGCGCTGCGATTGGACCACCACCACGCGCGCTTCGTCGAGGAGGAGGTGTCGCTCGGCGATGTGCTGCTGCTGACGGACGAGGAGCTGGAGCGGCACCTGGGCCTGCGTCTCGGACCGCGACGACGCCTGCGACACGCCATCGCCCAGCTGGCCCTGCCGCCCGCCTTCCCCTCGTCCGCCGCCCGTCGCGTCCAGGACACCCTCGACCGCGTTGCCAACGTTGGGCATACCGAGACCTCAAGCCTTCTTCGAGAGTGAGTGAGTGTTGTATTATGTGACAAGTGTGGACGACGACGACGACGTGTATGTACAGGGCCTGGATGGCGATCGTCAGAAATAGACGCGAGTGGCCTGGCCCACCTTTTGCTCCATCGGACAGTACGGGCACTTGAACCTGGTCATCCACCACATCATCACGGGGGGGCGATCGGTCGTTCACGTGATGATGGCATGTGAGGAATTTGTGGTGGAGCGAAGAGTGAGTGGGGGGGGTGTACCGGTGCGTGTGGGAGCGGACGGGGAGTTTGACGAGGGAGCCGTGGGAGATGATGTGGCCGCACAGAAGGAGCATGGGCGGGTTCTCGGGCGTGCAGGGCTCCTTCGACACCGGGCACACGAAGAGGCTGTGGTACTTGTGCCCCGAGTCATCAACCTGCAGATCACACGCGGATAGAGAGAGAGAGAGAGAGATCAGGCAAACATGCAACATTTGTATTCGAGGTTGGGTGGTCCGGTACGATGAGTTGTGACAGGTTGAGCCACTCCTGGGTGCGGCCTTGCATCTCCATGACCTCGGCCAGCTTCACGAATTTGGGCAGCACCTTGCAGCCTTCGTCCACCCTGCACATTAATAAATAAATAACAAAGACGGAGGTCAAAATAGAGAGAATATAAAATATAGAAAATAAATAAAGGTAAAGCTTGGCGTACACTGTGGCGAGGGGACTGTCCGCCAGCAGCCCGAGGTGCCCATAGTACTCCCTCACCAATATCTGCGTGTTTCGGTGGTCGATTGGGCGGATGCACGGAATGGGGAGGTAAACGTTGGGGGGGGGGCGTACGGTCTCCAGGGAGTGCCAGTGGGCAGTGCCAGTGAAGAAGGAGGCATAGGGCGAACGCTCCAGCCCGCTCTCGGTGAACGCCAGACACCCCATCAGCCGCTGAATCACTGCATGTGTGTGTGTGTCGTATGTGTGTGTCGGGAGACCACCCTCGAGCCGATCAGCTGATCCTTTTTCCACACTAACTGCATGCACGCGCATGTGCTCCAACACCCCAAGTGGGGGGGGGGGTGATGACGATGATGGTTTGTTACCTGACATGTGGGTGTGGGCGTGTGCGGGGAAGTAGGTCCGCGCGTATTCGAGGGCCTCCTTCCGCTTGTGCTGCTTGAGCAGGTGCAGGTACTCCATCGCCCGCAGATCGAACAGCAGGTGCGCCGGCTTGTCCCCTGCCTCCGCCACGATCCCATGCTTCTCGGCCCATCTAAAACACACACGGCACGACACACACGCGCGCGACACACCATCGCACACGAGGTCGGTACGGTGGAAAGAAGTGGAGATGAAGGAGAAGACGGGGTCCACGTACAGGATGGCCGGTTGGAGGTCGCGTTGGCGGATGGCGCGGAGGATGGTGTGTAGCTCCTGGAGGGCCGGCTTGAGCTCCGGCTCGATGGCCACACCGGCCTCCTCCTCGAACTTGCGCGCCGTCTCCACGAACCCTTCCCTGTACAGATGCTCGGCGATCACCCCGTTCATCAGGTCCTGGCCGCCACATCGCACACGCCATCAAAAGTCAACATCGCACATTTCATGCGTGTGCGTGCCGCGGTGCGTGCGGTGCGTGTGTGCGGTGTGCGCGAGGTACCTGGTCCATTTCGATGTCTCGATAGGCCCTGGTGATGCTCATTGGGAATTGCTGCACCACGGCGTGGGTGAGGACTTGGCGTGACTGGGGGTGACCACAGGGGGGGGGTGGGCGGCGGGGCACCTTTTCGATGGTCTTGTTGAACTTGGCGAGGATCTTGTGGTACTCGCGTTGCTCGGCGGCCACCTTCGTCGCGGGGTCGGCACGCTTCACGGCCTGGTTGAGCGTCACCAACGCCAGCTGCACGCCCACATCCGCCCCTTCTGTGCGCCACAAATGATGAATCAATGAAGAAAAAGTAAATAGAAATGAATGCCACAAATAAAGGAAGATGCATAAGTAAAGAAAGAGCTGATGTGTGAGGTGAGTAGTACCGGGCTGGGTCTGGGCGGCTTCCATCTTTTCGAGGCATCGTGAGAGGTCGGTGATGAGCTTGTCGATCTGTTCCTCAGTCTTTTTGTGGGTCACCTTGTGCCGCTTGGTCAGCCGCTCCAGGTCCTTCCCGATGGCCTCCAGCTGCGGCTGGTGGCCTGCTCCCTTCATCTCTCTATTGCTCAAATTGAATAGAAAACAAATATGGCTGAAACAAATAAATATAAATAAATAAACAATCTAGAGGTTGGTTGAAGGTAAGGGTGGATCGTGTTGAAGGGAATATACACCTCGTGCACGCTCTGCTCGTCGGCGTGGGTGAACAAAATTGCAGATAAAATAGTGTGGTCGAGTGATCAGGCCTATTGCTGGTTGAGGTCGAGGCTCGAATCCGCCACGTTGAGGCTGGTGACGGTCTGTGCCCATCGGGTGCTGACCTTGGCCGGCATGCGCGGCTGCAGCTGGGCGAAGGCCTCCGTCCACAGGCGGCCGACCTCCTTGCCCACGGCCTGTCGGGCCTCCTCGGCCTTGGCCGACTCCACCTCCACAGCTGCGTCGACACAAATAGCGGTGAGCGGCGCGCGCGGGCAAAAGGGTGATGGATGAGAGGAATGCGACGTACGCCACTCGCGGGCGAGGCTCTCGGTGAAGGCGGTGAGGAGGTCGAGGCAGGCCTCGCTGCTCTGGCCGTTGGTGGTGGCGGTGGTGCTGTTGTTGGTGCTGCTGTCGCCGGCCGAGGCCGACGCGGCCAGGTGCGGCGCGAGCTTCTCTCGCAGCAGCTCCACCTCCTTGATCAGCTCCTGGCCAATGTCCTCGAGCTCGTCTTCCCATTGGTCATCCTCCCTGTTGTTGTTGCACCGATCATGATCAGCCACACGCCCATAGGCCACCCTTTATGTGGGTCATCCAATCGGATCGATGGCATCGTGGCGTACCGGTTGTCGGCGGCCTTCTTGGCCTTCTTGCAGACGGTCTTGACTCGAAACCGGATCTCGTCGAGCGAGGCGGCGACCGCTGCGCTCTCCTCGGGCTTGGCCTCCTTCGCCTTCCCCGTCGCCGCGCTGGTGGCCTCCGCCTCGGCCGCGTCGTTAGTGCCATTCGCCTCCTCTTGGCCGTTCTCCTCCCCACCCTCCTCCCCCTCTTCCTCGGCCTCGGCCTCCTCTTCGCCCTCTTCCTCGCCTTCTTCTCCCTCCTCGCCCTCGCCCTCTCCAGCCTCGTCGTCGTACTCCTCGTCGCCCTCTTCGCCATCGGCCTCGGCCTTGGCTTCGCTCTGCGGAGCTCCACTGGCTGCGGCCTCGTCTGTCGGCCCGCTCGGCGGCTGCGGCTGGTCGGACAGGCCTGGCTGCTGGTTGGCCGTGTTCGGGGCTCCGGGCGTAGGCTGATCCTCTTCCTTCGGCTTCTCCAGCGTCATCTGCTCGGCTTCTCGTTGCCGCTGCAGCATCATCATCTGGTGCTGCTGCTGCTGCTGCTGCTGCTGATGCATCTGCTGGTGATGATGGTGGAAGGCGTGCTGCTGCTGTTGATGCAGCTGAAGCTGTTGCTGCTGCTGCATTTGCAGTTGCTGCTGTGGCGAGAGCTGCGAGACGTGCTGGATGCCCTGGGCCGCGTAGTACTGCGGGGCCAGCTGCGCGTGGGGATGCACGTGCGCATGCGCGTGGAGGTGCGGCAGATGCTGCATGTGCTGCTGCGCGTGCTGTGGCTGCTGGGCCGCGAGCTGTGGATGAACGTGCGCATGCGGGTGCTGGTGCTGATGTTGGTGCTGGGGCGCCATCTGCGGCTGGCCGTGCTGGTGGGCGTGGGCGTAGTGGCCCTGGTGCTGGTGCTGGTGCTGGGGGAACTGCGGCGAATGCACCTCCTCGCCCTCCTCGATCTTCCTCCGCTTGGGCGAGCCCTTGTTGTCGCTGCCGCCGGCGGCGGGGATGACGTGGGGCGGGACGGTCGGCATGCCAGGGGCTGCAGCAGCAACCCCGGGCGCCTGCGGGGCACCTGCGCCCGCGGGCTGACCACCCTGCGCCTGCGTCCCCTGGAAGCTAAAGTTTGGGTTCCGCTTGCGCTGCGCGTTCTTGACCTTGGCCCCTTGAAAAAGCCCAAAAAAGTCAAAGTCAGTCAACCGACAAAGAACGAAAGTGACGCGGAGTGCTGCCAAAGAACGAAAAAGAACGAAAGCGATGTGAGGAGGGAGCGGGGAGGCGCTACGCTTGTTCTGGAACCAGATCTGGACTTGGCGCGGGGTGAGGCCGATGAGGGCGCTGATGCGGTTGCGGGTCTCCTTGTTGGGCAGCGGCGAGATCGAGAACTCCTTCTCGAGGATGGCCAGCTGCTCGGGCGACTTCATCTGCCGCTTGCGCTTGCCGCCGCCCTTCTTGCCGCCGCCCTCGTCGTCATCGTCGTCATCGTCGTCGTCCGCCCCGCTCCCGTCCGACCCCGCCGCCGATGCCGCCGCAGCCGCCGCCGCGGCCTGCTGCTGGGCGTGTTGTTGCTGCTGCTGCTGCTGAAGCTGGAGCTGCTGTTGCTGCTGGGGCGTGAGCTGGCCGCCGTTGTACTGGATATGCATCGCGTGCTGCTGCTGCTGTTGCTGCTGTTGGTGGTGCTGATGCGCCCCGTGCGGGTGGGCCTGGGCCTGCGGGTGCTGCGGATGGTGGTGCGGGTGGTGGACGTGCTGCGGGTGCTGCGGGTGGTGATGGCCCGCAGGCCAGCCCTGCGGCGGCTGTTGCTGTTGCGGCTGCGGCACGCCGCCATCGGCCGTCGCGTACTGCGGATGGAGCTGCGGGTGGACGTGCTGGTGCTGATGGTGCGGGTGGAACTGCTGCTGCTGCTGGCCGTGCGGGAGCTGTTGCTGGACACCGACGTGGTGCTGCTGGTGTTGCTGCTGCTGTTGAAAGGCGGCCATGTGCTGGTGGTGGTGCTGCTGCATGGCGGCCATGTCGTGGTGCGGGTGTTGATGCTGGTGCTGCTGATGATGATGGTGCGGGTGGACGAGCTGCGGCTGGCCGTGCGGGTGGTGGTGAACGTGGCCCGCGAGGTGCGGCGAGGCAGCAGCCGACGGCGGCGAGTGGCCACCACTACCAGGGGCCTGCTGCTGCTGCTGCGAGGTCGGCTGAATCGTCGAATCGTCGAGAGCGCCGGGGTTGGCGTCGTGTTGATGAAGCTCCTCCACATCGATGTCGTCCATGGCGAAGTTGATGGTTGGTCTCTGGAGTGAATGAATCCAACGGTCGGTTCGGAGTTATACTTGGTCGTCAGCGAATATCGTACCAATGGAGTCGTTCCGAAGAAGAGCGTAGATGGATGAGTTCTTCCCGATCGAAAGGGCGTTGGCGTGCCTAAGGAGAAAGTATAATTAGGCTGTAATTAAATAATTATATAATTTAATTGACGGTCAAATAACAATGGGCATAATGAAGGGCGCTGCACGAGTACCCTCCGATTGTCGTGGTGATGAAGACGCGAAATGAAACGTTAAGGCGGCTTCCGCCAGTTGAGTAATGGTTCGTCATCAGTCGACAAGAAATAGCTTTGCGATTTCCTTTGGTTTCTTTCTCTTTGTTGCCACAAAAAGATGGATCGACTTTGCTTCTGCTCCTGTGGTCGATGGATGTCTGCAGCGCAATTCAAACAACATGTTGGAGGTTGCCCGCTTCCAACGCCAGAGCTGCTAGTCCTCTCGCCCTCACCCCAGCCGTCAACCTCAACCTGGCCCATCTTCTCACCATCACCGTCGCCCTCGCCCTCGACCCCACCCGTCCTGTCGCCGTCGCCGTTGCCGTCGCCATCGACCCCGCCCGTCCTCTCGCCCTCGACCCCT